TGTGCAAAGACACTTTGGCAAAATTATTCCAGAATTTTTCCTGACTTTTTTAATCACACTCACGACCCTTCTCGAATTCCGCAGTGTTGTTGCCTTCCCTTTCTTCATAAGGCATAGATCTCTTAGACCGAGTACACAAACGAGTAATTAAGTAGTTGATGATGTCGAATTTTAAATCCTACAAAGACAGAGTACAACACTTGTGATCCTTCCCGTCAGACTATCGGAGGACAAGAGGTAATCTCATAGTAACATACAGAGTACCAAGTATGCCAAATCACTCCAACACAAAAAACTTGTCAGAACATCACCGTTATGCTCTTCGAGGCAGCCTTCAAAACATTCGACATCAGTGAGCGAAGATCTAGGTACGCTTCCACTTTTTCTCATCAAGAGTTGTCCTCATTTGGAATGCTCTTCTAGTTGAAGTAACAACAGTCCCATCAATAGATAGCTTCAAGAAGTGAATTGACAAACATGTGCTCAAATACTGGTTACCATTCCTCTCTTCAACCAGCTGCCTAGTAATGCGACAGCTGATGGCATCCAGAAGTTCTGCTGCTGTGGCACGAATGCATTCGAATTAAAAGATATACAAATCTACAGATAACTACCAATCTGACTACAATTTACCCAGTTAAATGGCCAGACCACCACCCACTGAGCATTACCAAATACCTGGGGCCGTACTGAGACAATAACAAGCGAGCGCAAAGAAATCAATCAGGTTATAAGTTTTGGCAAAGATATTGTATGTTGGAGATACCACTGGTCTCACCAGTGAACACCTCCGAAAGGGAACTACAAAACTAGATAGATACTTACTGTAAAGATTAACATAGATCAGACGACCTACCAACCCTAGTTCTGAATGCTGTTATGGGTATGCGATTACATGAGGATTCAACAGCATTATTGATGACACACTGAAACTCAGCACCATGATTACGACGACGGTACTCGGCTCCCTCAGCAAACTCAGGTCTCACAGCTCAAGGTCCTTGAACGCCACAGTGGTTCCCAAAAACTCTGTAAGTGATTGGACCCATGTCAAAAGAGCTAAAAAGAGCCAGGCGTCACATTCTAAGTTGAACATCCCAGCTGTTGAACGGAAGTCAACAAGTGATCTGGTCGCACAATCTACCCCCAAGATTGTCCGTCCGGTCATCAAAGAGCCAAGGATTCATAAACGTACTTCGACCCCCAAACAACTAGGTGCTAAACCTGCACGCACCGAAAATCCTGGGACGACAATAACGGTTCGTGATGACTCTCTCATAGTCATGAACTTCAAAGACAACCCTGAACTTCCTCTCAGTTTGCAGCACAAAAATGACAGGATGCTCTGGGGAGAATTGAACAAGAAACTTGGACTTCCAAGAATAGAGCCTTTGACAGTCACACGGCTCACTCGAGGAAAGGAATCTAAGCATCAAAATCACCTGCGGCTACTTCGTGTAACACTTAAGAATGCTACCGAAGTAGAGGATGTCTTACTAGCGAGTCATTTACTGAAATCAGATGAGAATGTAAGAATACTGCCTGAAATACCGTATTCTGAGCGCAATCTCATCCGGAACATCCCCAAAGAATCTCGCGATCAGTTTTTCCGCGGGAGGAAAATAATCGTGTAAGGTATACCGGAAAATACGGACCCTACTCAATCAAAGACCTACATCAGGGATTGGAAATTCATCAAACAGTCCTTGAGGCTCAAAAACATACTGACTCAGCATGTGACGAGACTAGCCAAGAAAGATGGTGATTCTAGACCCCGTCTAATGAAGATAACACTCCTATCTTCCCATATAGCGGCTGCAACTCTGGAAGCATTTCGTACCAACAGACGGCGACTGCCACCTGGAATCCACATGCACCTGGATAGGTCATACGAAGCTAGGACCAAACACAAAGGCAAGTTGAAACTGACCATTCCACTTGTGGACTGTCTAGACGATAAAAAGAAAGTGTAAAGGACAGGGCCTACCACCTCGGCAAACCTTATATAGGTGGGCTACCTGTCCGATCACGTAAGGCTCATACAGACAAACAGGAAGAAGCTCACGCGTTCCAAATTGAAAGCATACACTGCTTATATATGAACGCCGCGAGTCTACCAAACAAAATGGATGAACTACGTGAACTTAGCAATGCTAATAAGGCCCACCTGACAGGAATATCTGAAACCTGGATATCTTCTCAGTTCTCGGACCATGAGCTAGCATTACCTGGGTTGTCTTCGTTCCGCAGTGACAGAGAATCAGGATATGGGGGCAGGGTAGTTGTTTACTTACGTCCTTGCTTGGAGGTGCATCAAGTTCACAACCTTGAGTTTAACAATCTTGAGGAATCTATATGGTGTTCTGTAAGATTGTCAAGTACTTCGAGGTGTCTAGTCGGAGTCATCTACAGAAAGCCAACTGCCGACATCGAGTACGATAGTCGTATGCTGGAAGGACTATCCCGCTCTACTCGTCTCGGTTTCACACATATCTTGATTCTAGGGGACTTCAGTCTCCCTAGAGTCAACTTCGTGGAACACACGTATACTGGAGGCGACAACTCAATCGAAGCTCGGTTCTTCAACCTCATCGATGACTTCGGATTGTACGAAAATGTGAGGTCGGCAACTCGTTGGAGAAATAATCAGACACCATCGCTCTTAGACTGTGTATTCACAAACGAAGAATTTCTAGTTGACAACCTCTCATTCCTGGCTCCTCTGGGAAAGAGCGATCATGCCGTCATAGCCTTCAGTTTTGTCAGTAAAACTTAGCTACGATACCCCACCAATAACTTTTGTTGGAATTTCAAACGGTTGAATGTGCCAGCTCTACACGACTATCTACAACAGGTGGTTTGGGACGTTCACCCCCAACTCGATTTGGACGATCATTGGGACTTCTTACTGCACACGCTCTTACGTGCTACAAACCATTCAGTTCCTCAAACGGTTCCCAAAACCTGCAAGCCACCTACAATAATCAAGAACCGTACCCTTCGCCTGCTAAGCCGAAAAAGGCACTGTTGGGCGGAATACAAACGAACTGACAACGGCGGAGCGTACAGGCAATATAACCATATCAGGAACATATGCACGAAGGCTATAGGAGAAGACAGGCTTCAGTGCTAGACAAAGCTTATGGACAAATTTGCCTCTAATCCTAAGAGCTTATTCCGTTATGCAGCCTCTCTTCGTCAAGCCAAAACTGGAGTTTCCCAACTGCCAGGTCCTAATGGCCCGACCAACAACGATGGCGACGCCGCTAACCTTCTGGCTGAACATTACTCACAGACATTTCAGCCGATCGACATTAACTTTACTGATGACAGTTTCGTTTACAGGACTTTCCGAAGTGAACGCAAGCGCTGGTATGATGTTCCGGAAACTGCAGCACTTAAGATTAGAGATTTCTCCTGGCCCGGACATGGTCCATTCCGTTATACTGAGGGAAGCAGCCTCAATCTTGGCAACACCGCTTAGCGTGTTGTTCTCACACTCGCTAAGTCGAGGAAAACTACCAGAAAATTGGAGGCTGGCTCACATCACACCAATTTTCAAAGGAGGTCGACGCAGCGAACCTTCAAGTTACCGACCGATGGCTCTTCCCTCCATACCCTCAAAAATTATGGATGCGATGGTGTAAATGACTATTTACTGTCCTTAAATTTCTTCTCACCCCAACAGCATGGTTTCAGGAAGGGCTACTCTTGTATTACCAACCTGCTGACTGCGGTGGACAGATGGACAAGCAGGGGAAGGTTGATATCATCTACCTAGATTTCTCAAAAGCTTTTGGTAAGGTTAACCATACATGCCTTATCAATAAGCTCAAACGACTGAGTATCAGACCACCTCTAGTCGATTGGCTCACTTCATACCTGAAAAACCGACATTTTAAGGTCAGGGTTAATTTCACTTTATCTCAGGCTATGGAATGTCCTAGTGGGGTCCCCTAGGGCTCAGTCCTAGGACATCTTCTCTTCTTGATCTACATAAATGATCTTCCCCAACAGGTAACGTCAGACTTATTACATTTTGTCGATGACGTGAAACTTTGGAGAGAGATACGCAACCAAGTCGATATACAGGCACTTCAGGAGGATCTGACTCGACTTTAAAATTGGGCAGACGATAACGGACTTACCTTTAACACTTCAAAGTGTAAAGTAGTCCATCTGCGACATGTCGCAGACTACAGTTACAACTTAAGAAACTCCTCCCTAGTAGTATCTCAAGTCGAAAAAGATTTGAGAGTCCTGGTGCTCTACGATCTAAAGTCTTACGCTATCTGTGACAAAAATGCCTTCCGAGCAAATCTTGCACTGGTAACATTGAAGCGCATTTTTGGCCAGTTTGACGAAAGAACTTTCCACACAACCTTCAACAGTTTTATTCGTCCCTATTTAGAGTACGGGAACATAGTATTTCCTCCCTCACTCCAAAAGGATAAGGACACCCTGGAGTGTATCCAACGGCGAGCCACGAAATCAGTTCGGGGACTCAAATTCAAACCTTACGAAGAGCGCCTCTATTCACTTAACCTTTACCCATTAGAGTATAGGCGTCTTAGAGGTGACCTTCCGATGGCTTATAGTATCCTTAACACTTCTGGACATTCCCTCAAACACCTACTTAAGCTTAGTTCCAACACTAACCTAAGAGGTAACACCCAAAAACTGGAGACACAACATAGCAGAACGGACTGTAGACACAACTTCTACTCCTTAAGAGTTGTCAAATGCTGGGGTTCGCTGCTGACTGAACTAGTCCAAGCGACTTCCCAGGAGTCCTTTAAGAGGCAACTTGAACTATTCTTAAGGACTAAGGATAGTATCGCACTATGATTTACTAATATCTTTTCCTGTTTTACTGTTAACATACCTAGGTTCCTGCCTGGAGGATTTGGTGATCCTTTGCTACTAGACACGGAAGCCTGTTAAGCGAAAGCTTCTATTCCGTCCACAACCATTTGAACCATTTGAAACATGGGAGCGGCACATTAGCTACATGCGCTACAGTTTACACAATGGGAACTGAGCGGGTTGAAGCGGTAACGGAGTTACTTACTGGACATACTATTGATGAGCTACACCGTATAGTTCGTCAGAAAAGGTAGTTTTTTTCACCCGGATTTCTTACTTTTCAGAGCTGAAGTAGAACATAAAAAAGATGAGTTACGTCACCTTGTGGGTGAAAGACATCGAGATATTATTGATGCTTCTGATCGAATACTACTAATGAAGAACCTTGCCAATGAAGTGAGGACTTTGTGTGCCCAATAAACATTAGGTTTCCATCTTATTAGACCAGCTGAGGTCATACTTGACAACTTGGAGTCGAGATATGGGAACAAAAAAAGAGTAAGTTATCCGTTTGTTAATCGTAGTCCTTCCGTTGAAACACAATCGCTCGAATTATCAATGGCTTCTCAATTGAAGTTGATGCTTGACATACCGGAATTGGTAGGTTTCGCACAATAAGTTATATCGAAAGATTTGGAATTATATGGATTTGGGACGACACTCTTCGTCTGCGAGAATGCTCTTTCTTGGCAGACATCTGAACGCTAGGTTAAATTTTAGCCATGAGCGACAGTTGTCACATGTAAACGCAAGTGTTCTTGTCAGTCGGGCATGGGACTCTTTGGTCCATATGGAAGCAGCCGTAATTTCAGCATTCCGCAAACGATTATCTGCTCCTCCGTCAACTAAAGAAGTGCTTAAATGTATAAAAGTTTACGTTTTCAGGAATTATGCGATTCTCTTGCTGCTCTGTCAATGGTTGGTGACCTTTCTACCCTACAGGTGCTTGAAGAATTTTTCAATGGCAGAAAGGTGAGTTTCCCCATAATAGTAGCAAATAACCACTGAACCACGAAAATGTAATATAACAATATTTTTATTACTGGCAGTTACCTGTTTAAAGCCTGTGGTATTTTACTGACCCCTCATACTGATGGAGGGATTTAAACAAGTGCATTGTTTTATGTTGGTGTAATATTTATATGGAATTTCAATAACAGATGTGCCACATACATATTTTGTTAGTCATTTTTCAATCCTACACTCTGTACAAGGGCTGCCTATATTACCCGGCTCTCCAAAACCAAATAAAAATTGAAATATATGTGGTGTTAATTATGTGAGATATCCTGGTAATATATTGGGTCCCAGTCCAACACGAAATATGTCATTGTTACTAAACCTCCATTAAGGTTTCAGAATCGAATCTCAAGCATGATTTTCTTACTCAAACAGAGTTGTAGGGTAATGATTTGATTGATTGAATTTCCCTAAGTGTTTGAAATCCGAAAATGAATTCAAATTGTTCGCAAATGAAAACCGTTTTCACATTGCTTTAATATCCGATGCTTGTTTACTTGTTCAGCTGTTCGTCCTGCAACTTATTCGCTTCTGGATTTTTATTCCTATTTTTAGTTTTACACTTCTGTTTGTACATATCCGAATGTTGCTCCACTGCCTTGTGGGTCAGGCCTTTGGGTCGAAGGCTCCGAGTATGGCTTCTAAGATAACTGCCTGATTCGGTCTGGGCACCAGGGAGGTATCGCAGTCCACACACAAATCAAGTGACTTTTTTGGCGCATATGTATTCGGTGCCCCTTTGTACCATTATTTATGCGTTCAAATAAATAAATAATAAAACTTGTCTGTGTAATTATTTACACTCTTGATTTAATCGTGATCTCCATACTGCCGTATATTGTGGAAACACGGGCTAGTACACGCATGTGCCACGTAGTACGTTGTTTTTGAATGACTGACTGGTTTGTTGTTTACTTGGCGTTTCATTAAGTTAATTTCATAGTTTAGTTTTATATCGATTTTGTTTAGGAAGTTTTCCCACCGTCGCCATTATTGTCAAGTCAGCCAGTGTTGTAACCGTGATATGTTTAAGCCTGATAATAATAGCCCCTTTCAGGCTGTATGTAATAACGTTCATATTTCCTAATGGTTTCCCATACTTTAAAGGTTGATTAGGAAGCGAAATCATACTTCTGGTGCCGGTGTTTAACACTATTGAGATGTTCTTGAAGGATGAGTTGGAATTGGTCAGTCTCGAAGTTAGTACCTCTTTCGACCCACAGAGTTTTGGTTACAACGGTAAGATTTTCGAGATACAAATTAATCGGAATAGGCGTTTCCAAAACTGCTTGTCTACCATAAGCAAATATCCCCTAGACTGCATTTGCATGTTATGTAGAACATAAGAGCAATACTACAAATTGATTCCCGTTTTCATGTCATGCAAAGGGATATAATACTCCATAACTCATATAGCCTGATAGTATTATTTGCTACTCATCTTCAGGAGCACTTTAGTTTACAGGTTACTCTTTCAGGTGGATTGATTCTCGCTATGTATGTAACTTTGGTCAAGTCGCACACAAAATGCAATTTCTCTCTACGAAGATGGCATTCAAATCTTTACTTACACAATTATCCCACCGTTTTCTCCTTATTATATACCTTGTTATGAACACATTTCAAAACGTGCTTTAATAATTGTTTTATACGATTTCCTAATAGAATAGTTATGAGACAAAACTAAGTTTTTAAAATGTCTTAGATTACTTTGTCCTAAAATATTTATAGGATGCCTTATTATGTCTTCTTAAATGTTCCTTTTTTACTGTTTTGTTCAAGGTTGGATTATATTGCCTTCTTGGTAGAGATTATTCACCACACGATGGGATGATAGGACTAAGACCTAATTTTATCCTATCAATTCGCAAACAACTTTTACTGGTTGTTAGACATATTTTGTCAACTTTGGAGTATCTTGAGTTCCTATTTTTGCCGAATACTAGCGGTGAAGGATCTACCTGTAAAGGAGCTCTCGATTCTCGGATTAAATGGTTTGTGGATTGGACATTCCAAGGTATTGCTTTCTTGTAGAACGTTATAAATTAAAACTTGTAGTTAGTGTCTCATGTTGTCTACTTTGCTCAACCCTGTTTTAAATGATAAAAATTTGGATGTTTTGTGTTACATTAGGGCTTAATATAGTGAAAATGAAACTGTTGAAAATGACCAACCGACTGTTTCTGCAAATCAACGGTTCTTCGCTTTATCATTCAGGATTTCGAGGTTATATGACGAAAATGATCTCATTTTTAGGACATGTACTAAAATTAGTGATAATTATTTTCGTACAGTATATACCTTTAGTAACGTAATCAGTCAAAGGGAGATTACAAACTCCACTAGTTCTGATTAGTGGGGTTTAAATCTAAGTAGCAGACAGTATTTAAGCTTCTAAGCTTTGTCCTGAGCCAATTTCTTATGCTTAACTTTGTAGGTCGTGCTTTGTTTCATCGAAAGTATCACAATGTATTACTAAAGATTGTTACATTAATCATAATTAGTGCAATAAATAGAGTGTATTACAGTTGTTGTAGTGCATTGAGAATGTTAGATCCGGTCATAGTTTTCGTTAAGACAAATGTATGGATGTCCAAGGTGAGTCAATAAATTTGATCCTACTCGTTTTCAGCGTCAAACTTATTTAACCTCAGTCAGTATTGACAAACTTCTCCACAAATTGTAATGCCTTTGTAAGTTTCTCTATTTCGTCATCACAAGACTTTCTATTATTTTAGATTCACCCATCTTCTCCAGAGATCGTCTTTATACACATTTACCGAGCGATGTACTGGATTTCAAACTGAAGGATTTTAAATTTTCAGACGAATTTTCTAATTTTAAGCAGGATGAACAATATAACTTGCTGATAGACTTACTACGTAAACTTTGGGATGCTTGGCGAGATGAGTGAGTTTATTTTGAACTCGTTAACTTTAGCAACTTTATGACCATTGCTAAACAACTCGTAGGTTAACTACTGAAACAAAGCTAAACAATTGGTACTGAATTTTCCAAATTTAGAATTAGGTTGGCCACTCAGTTACAGGTAGTGAACGATCTAACAAAAATGTTCTTTCCATTTCCTACACCACAGCACACTGAGATGACGTTTACATTTGATTTTTTATAGATGTCTAAGTAAGTCAACAGAACATGTTTTAATTACTCTTTACGACAAGACTGGTTGGAAGAAACAATGCATTTATCGCTTTCGAAACTTAAAAGTAGTAGACTGGAAGTTTTTATGTTGTAGAAAATCGTTACCAACTATTTGAGTATCAGAGAAATTATTTATTTATTTGTTTATTTATTTGAACATAAATATTGGTACAAAGAGGCATCAGATACATATGCACCACACAATAGCAATAAGAATGTGAAGTGATAAAGAATGTAAGGTGCGTATAAGAAAAAGGGGAACAATAACGAACAAAAATTAGTGTATGATAGTGAAATAATAATAGTGGTAGGGGTGGTCCAGTTAGCAAATCTTCAACCAGAAAGAATTCTTCCAGTTAAAGAAGTTACGTCCATTTTTATGAAGAATGTTAAGTAAAGTTGCAACAGGATCGCCACTGGCTTCTGTTCTGAGCCATATCTGATAACGTCTAGAGGCTGGGTATTTGTGTACGAGTCCGAATGTCCTGGGTTCGAGTTCCCTTTGCCAACAACACCCTCGAATGCCCTAGTACGGCCGAGAGTGGGGAGAGTCCGCTCTCCCTCTCGAAATGCTCTCACATGGCCACGCGTATATATCCTCTGCCGGGGAAGTCCTACTCACTACCTTCTCGTGGCGGGGGTGTTGTTTACGAAAATGAGGACAAAACGCAAATGTCCGGCGCTTTAACCGGGCTGGTGGACATGGAGAGTCCACCCATGGGAGTTGGAAAACCCCGATTCCAAACCAATGGTGTCCATAAGCTCCAGGATCCTGCGGGAACAAATGGCGTATGAACCAATCGTTGGTCACCAGCTACCATGGTACTGCATTTCCTGGTGTTGTTCCACTGCTTTGTGTATTAGACCTTTAAGTCAAAGTCTCCGGGTGTGGCCCTCTAAGAAAACCACCTGCTTTGGTTTGGGCACCCAGGGAGTATCACAGCCCACACACAAATAAAATGAAATAACGATAATGACTGGGAATACTGTTCTCGCCTTAATTAAAATCAGAGAAATTTAGCATAAAATTGTGGTAGACTTTAGCAAGGCAAAGTCGAGGAAGCAAGGGAGTATAATTTGAAACCTAATGTTATCAGATTGATTATTATTCTGTATTTTGCTTAAGGATGTGGTATCCCTTAGTTTCAGTTGCATGAGAATGAACACAGAAAATTTACTTTTGCAGATAGTAATAGACATATGTTTTTGATTTTCTCAACCGAACTCAAAAATTTGCGAAGATAAAAAGCTCGATGCTGTTGCTTACTATTTAGCCAAATTTTTAAAAGTGTGTCTTTCATAGTATTAGTTTTCATTAGTATTATCTTTGAATAAATCGCTACACAGGAAAATCGCAAGAATTGTAGTAATTCAACCAAACGAAAGTAATGACCATGTTTTTCACTCAAAATAGTTTGCTTAGCTAATTAATCTGTAATGTGGTTTACCGTCATGAGATATCGAAATGTTGATAATACGTCCTGTATCTTTAGCCTCATATTCTGTCTTATCATTACAACTCACTTTTAGTGAACTGGTAACATCCCACAATTATGTGGATTTTTAATTACCAGTGTTAACTTTGTTTCGATTAAAAAGCATCTAGTTAAAAGGTTTCAGGTTTTGACCCGGCTAACGTAAGCATCACAAAGTAACAAACGCACTAAGTAATTCTGATGTGAACTGTGCAGTTCACTATCAATTCTTAAGTTATCTATCTCATTTCAAATAAATTTTCAATCACCATCTAGAAGGAGAGCAATGGATATCAATAATAATGAAAAATGTAAAGTAATAACATGGTTTTCATCGCAGTGGTATTTAACCACATTTATTAAATTTGTGATTTGATTACTTACTAATAGCTCTATTCAAATATGCCGAGAAGTTCTGTCAGAATCATTAAGCCATGTGTCTAGTTTTGAAACACTGGTTGATCTCCGTACAACTGCACTAGTTCTTGTAAAACGACTACAAACCTTCAGTTTTAAAAATGGTGCAAAGAATTGTGATACAAGACCAATCAAATTTGATATTTGGATAGAATTACTGCGTGGTTTATTCCTACAAAGATTAGAGGTAGTTCTGTTAAATTTTATCTAGTCTTGATTATATTTTATAGTTAAACGATCATGGTAAAATTGGGTACAGTTCATGTTTTTGTTTTGTTTCAACTAGTTAATATTTAATCGCGTTTGATGTGATGTTCTGTGCAAGATAGTTTTGAATGATAATCATCTTAATTCCTAGATTGACACTGTTGTCATTATGACATCTTTAAATCTATATTGTTATTGGCGTCTAGTTTGAAATTAAAATTTCTGTCATCTGAAACTAAATTTATGGGAATATATTGTGACGGGCGGTGTACGAAATGTGATACTGATACACGGTGTGTTACGCTCCAACACCCCCTCGACTGACTATTTGGACGAGAACTCAAGAGTAATCGGAAAAGCATATTGGGTTGCCGAATAAAATGCACAAATACTCATTCATATGTACACCACTCTAATCCTTAGAAAATCGATCCGTTTCTCAGACAATAAAATTCACATCACTTTCATGTCACTTTTAATTGCTATCGACAGACCTCATTGAGCTACTTCTGATGGGCTCATTGTATCAATATTTATCCCATATCTATATCCTTGACTGTAAATATTTACACTAATGAGTCATTTCATAAGCAATGCAACAGTGTCACAAGTGATGACGTTACTCACAAACGGCTTGAGTAACAATTACTTTGGTTACTTTCGGTTATCCCACATTGGAATAGGTATCTGCCCAAATGTCTGTGTAAGAATATAATCATTGAATTAATATCTCTATTTATTTATGTTCTTTGTAATCAGTCGTATTTATTCTCATCACCTTAAATTTGTAAACACTTTACTCTTGTAGAACCAAAGTTTGCATTTTTATACTTAAGTTCGCTTTTCTATTTTGATTCAATACTTCATTCATAAAATAAACTTACATACATAATTATTTACCCAACCTAAAAATCTTATTGATGTTTTTTACAGGTGCTATTCACGGAGAGTTTTGAGAGCAGTTTCAATGAATGGATTGACCAATTCGATCAAATTTTAGTCCGTGATTCGAAATTAAAGAGTGAGGATAACTTGTCGAAAATGCTATCGTCTAAAAAAGTGAGTTTATTTACCAGTAATTGCGTCATACAAACTACATATTTAACTTGGTGCTGAACCCTAACTGGAACTTAGAAATGTACATAGATAGTACAATATATATTTCTTCATGATTGTGACATTTGTACCATGCTTAATATGGTAAAGTACTAGTTAACGAAGCAAATGGGTAGCAGTATTCATCATATTTAGGTAATGTCATTTACTAAATGCTTATTTTACAAGAAGTGACTAATTAAATTGTGGAAATGTACGTGACGTTTTCGATGATTTTTTTAATGATCGCGTCCATGAAGATTGACAGAAATTTACCCAAACTGGATTTCTGTTTATTTTATAGCCCTAAGCCAATCTATCCGCAGAAATCTCAATAATAATTTTTTCGGTGAAAATCTAGTTCCATTCCCTAATTCAATGATAAACGTTTCTTTTTGGCGAGATACTTATTTACAACTAATGTGAGGTCAGGATGTTTAACCTGCTTCGGTATGGTCATCCGTGTAGTATTCCAGGCTTCACAGAAAGTTGGCAATGGCTATAACTAAAAAAACGTATACTAGCTTCTATCCTCATTCTCAAATCATACAAAATTCGTTCCGTTTTAACAGAAAGTCCCCTAGTAGCATATTATAAGCATATTATAAGACTGTCCCAATGCACACCGCTTTCTGCATCTTCGCGGCAGGACGGCTGTTAGTGGTAGTGGGTGAACGAAAAACCAATGTCTGTCGCTTAAACCGGGTTGGCGGATACGGAGGATCCATATGTGTGTGTGTTGGAAAACCTTGGTTTCAAGTCAATAGCGCAAATAGACCCCAGGGTATTGAGGGATCAAATGGTATATGAACCTACTTTTAGTCACCAAGTACCATGGGATCATATCTCCTGACCTTGCTGCCTTTCCTTTTTGATTAGACCTCTAGATCAAAGATCTGAAGAGTGTCCTTCTAAGACAACCCTTTGATTCTGTCTGGGCACTTGGGAAGTATCACAGTTTACGGAACTGATGGGGACGTTAGATCCCCAAAACTCATATTTTGTAATCTTATCTTTGTGGAGCTTGTATGCAGATGTATGCTTGGGCATTTCTTACCACCCACGCACATAGTCGATTGACAAACTTATCGATTAAATGTTTAAATATTTCAATGGCAGTCGATTAACGAACTTATCGATTAAATGTTTAAAAACTTCCATGACAACAGTGATTATATATATTTTGTATAAATACGCTCGATTTGTGTGCTTGATGAACCTGGTATCTTCTGGTTGTCTGTAGAATACACTTTCTACATTTTACCAAGACTTCTGGATCGAGTTAGCTGAGTCGGGGACAACGTACCAGTATAGCCTATCGAGTCTCTGAATCCTTGATTCTTCGTTGCGTTCCGAGTAAGACGAATCGGCAGTAGCATTCAAGTTTAACGAACATAACAGAAACGTTTGATGGTGACTACAGCCGAACAAAATACTCTCGTTCCTATTCCCATTCAGGACTCTAGTGAAAAACTGTAAATTGGCTCTCTATCTGTTGCTTCAAAAGCTTGTTTCGTGTGTGGTTATCCAGGGACCCTGTGACGTCTTCGTCCGGTTTTTGTAGCGTTGGCGTTGCACTAAGCACCAGAATATAAGCAGGACTAATCTATTGGGTCCTAATCAACGGTCGATTATTTACTACTAAGTAAGAATGCCTCATCAAATTGAGAAGAAATCGGTATGGGAAACGATGACTTTTCTTGATCTCTGCCTATGCCCCAACAAATTGCCTGGATTCTATCAAGGATGAGTCCTACCACCAGTTAAGTGGTCTCCGGAAAGTGCGTCCAACAGATATTGTGGTACTAGCCGGAGATTCGAATGTGCAGATCGGGCGTCTAGAGACCGAGCGGATCCGTTTAAGTAGCCAATGGGAACTCGTCGGTTGCAGGTCAGATAACGGTGAGCGTCTACTGGAACTTTGCACAGACTACAGACTGTTTCTGATTAGGACTAACTGCCGGTACAGTAATCGCCGATGTACTACCTGGTGTCCTAACTCTGCATTCAAGCCTGGACTCAGATTGATCACATCACGTTCAGTTGGCGTGGTTGTGTACAAGACTGATCATACCCTTGTTTGCGCAAGAAGCAGGCTAGATTTCGATCTGCTCGAAGATATATTTATCATATCTTCACCCCCTGTTAAATGTCAGAACGCCGCCAAACTTATCTCAGGTCAACAATCATTGTGTTCTTCGACATCAGGGCCGCATTCGATCCATTGAACTAAACTGTTCTCTAAGATTGTCTGTTGAAGAAGGGTGTACCTGAGAAGAGTATTAACATCTTTAAAGTCCTATATGCAAACACTTCAAAGAGAATGAAAGCATACAACCACCTCTCCATTGTGTATTCAAGCAGTAGGGTTAGACAGGGTTACCGAATCTCATCATTCCTTTCCAATTTCCCATGGATGACGTTTAAGATGCACCCATGATGGGTCTAGATAATTGTGATGTGGTTGTTATCTGGAGAAAGACTTTTCTATCTTGAGTATGCGGATGATATTATCTTGCTGTACGATGATACCCAAGTCATGCAATTCGCACATAATCAGTGTCCGTATGTATAGCGTGTACTTTCCATCTTCTAAGTGCATAGTACTTGTACAGGACTGGGAGAATCCTGAACTTGAGTTCACTCTTGGTAGGGAACAGATAGAAGTAGTCGAGTTCATGTATCTGGGTAGCTGCATAAATGCTGGTAGTGACATGAATGATGAAATCAGTTCACGTATAGGGGAGGCCAGAGCAGTTTATGCCAATTTGGGCTATTTATGATGTTAGTGTGACTGTAAAGGGTTGGATCTGTAATGCGTCGATGAGAGCAATTATATGGTATGGTTATGAAACCTGATCTCGAAGTTGAGGATGTTAAACGGCTCTGTGTTTGATCGTCGTTGTCTTTGGAAGTTTGCTGACATCCAGTGACACGCCATGTTAGTAGCGCACAGGTTCATCAACGTGTATTTTGGCACAGCGATGATAACTCATTTGGTGTGACCATTTCGAATCACTGACTTCGGTGAATTGTACATGTGCTACGAATTTTGTCTCAGCAAATTCCACATCGTGTATTATTTGCTGACGCAAGGACTGATTGGAAAATGCGAAGGTGTTGTTGGTTTTTGACGTAGTACTGGGGTACGGAAGAAAGCTGTATAGGACCGGCATCCGTTGTTTCTTCACGATTCTGTTCAAAGTCCTTGAGGCGATACGACACGGTGTTCAGAGTAGAATCCAGTAGCGATCATTCTGTAGCTCTTACTTTCTTCATATAAGCAAGAGGAACTCCCTAATTGAATCCTCTGTGTGGTTGTATTTTGCCTAACTGAACTGCTCCTATTATTATTATTATTATTATTATTATTATTATTGTTTCACCCTCATGCATTAATTTCTATTCACTGTTGTTCTTTTTTATTATACTCATCGTTTCTCTATCTCTTCACAATCTGATACTTATTGTGTGCCACATGTATGTTTTTGGTCCCTCTTTGTATTAGTGTTTATGTGTTTAAATAAACAAATAAATAAAATAGATGTAATATACTATTACCTAGGTGCCAATTCGAAAGTAGGTGGTTGCGTCGATAGATTATGACATAGTTCATACTTCAAATTTCCACTTCATGAGATAACCTTGGCTATGTATGAAGTTTCGACACGTGACTAATCCGCTTGTGTCGGTAAGAACTTACTAAACTCTAGCGATATAGTCAACTCATTCGTTGACCAGACACTTGGGTAAGAGCAATACTTAAGATGTTTTGAATAGTGATTATTCCCGGTTGCTCAAACCGAAGCAGGTAGGTGGGTTTCCAAATGTGGGACTTAGTGGTGGAAAGCTGAACGTCCTTATTAATAAACCACCGCTCAACAGAACGAAATGCAATTGTAATCTGAGTTTACATCTATGGGAATCCCATTCATAATTTGCATTACTTCATATAACGTATCGTAATATTCCACAACAAACTTTTCCCATCATGTAAATAGTTTCTGTATGAGTAGTAAATACCTTTAGTAGCTATTATTTTAGGGATCCTATTTGTAATACTACTTCATCATTCGATTTGTGTGAGGGCTGGGATACCTCCCGGTGCCCAAACCGAAGCAGGTGATTTTCTTGGGGGTCCACACTCCGAACCTTCGAGCTAAAGGTCTCATTCACAAGGCAGTGGAGCAAGATCAGGAGACGCAGTACCATGGTAGCCGGTGACCAAAAATTGGTTCAGACACCACTTGTTCCTCCAGGATCCTGGAGCTTATGTACACCATTGGTTTGGAATCTAGGTTTTCCAACTCCCCTAGCTGAACCCTCCATTTCCACCAACCCGATTAAAGCTCCGGACATCTGGAGTCCCACTGGCTCTCTTCTTAGCTCAATCCGTTTCTTCACTACGTAGCTTTTCACATAAATCTTAATATTTTGTCTATAGCTGGTTACTAATATGGTTCTCACCTGCTGTTATATGTAAGGTTGTAGCCATTTTTAAGAACACGATAAATTCAAATCAAGCAATGAATTCCTGAAGTTTTAATACTCACTGAACATCTTATCGTTTGAAAAAATATATATTTATATATCCGATACTAACTCACGTCTACTTTCACGTTTTCTCATTTCGCCTTCGTAGCCCTTTTTCAACAGTCCCATAGAAAATAGTCAGTTTGACTGGGCTAATTTCGTCTGGTCAGACTGCCTAAGAGATATTAATATAAATGATTCGTCCGTTGTGCCAGATTTATTTTCCTGTGGAAAGTCCAAATCTGAAGAAACATCAGCATCATCGGTCAGTGCCTGGAATAGTAAAGTTATGTCTCATTTGGTAAATTCCAATAATGTAGGCTTGGCTGTATTTTGTTGTCTTTTACATTCTCCGATTCCTGACTCATTTGCTTGGATTGAAAATGAACATGAACATGACTTCACATCATCAGCTCAACTGTTAGTCTTTTTGCAACGATTAGTCAATGAAAATGTCCCGTCACTACCTGGGATAATATTAAATGGATATACAGATTTACAAAAACAGCTTCAGGTTTTATCACCTGAATTGTTAGCGTAAGTTAGTTTTGTGGGTGTTATCTTACTCACATATTTCCTGTAGAAGTTCACATATAATTAGTGAGGTTTTTATGACTAATTCAGTGAATACTGGATTTATGTTTCAAGTTGACCAATTTCGCTCATGAAAATCTAAGTACTTTTGTGTGATGAGTTTGGAAGAAAATGTAACATATATTGTAGACTTCCGTAATCAGTCAGTACAAAGTTCCGTACCATATCCCTGTCGTAAGACGAAATTAGAGTTGAAACAATAGTAGTATCAAAGATAGTAATCGAAATCAAATATTGGAGAACACTGTTCGGAAAGGAATGGATACGAGGAGTAAAATGCACGAAATGACATCGGAGCTCAAGATTTATGAGGTGATAAGAGTGAACTCATTCTCACCACAGTGATGGATGTTGAGCCATGTCAACCAGTCTCCAATCGCTCATCCTAGTTATTGTGGGAACCCCAATTTGATAGTCTACACCTTTCAACATGGATCAATATAACAGTCAATAAATTCATGGACTGTCACTATGTTTTGGTCTATTCTCTCCTAGTGTTTTTCCGACCTATCCCTACTCGAGCTAATAAAGCATGCCTAAGTGGACAGTGATTGGACGTGCGTGACATATTCCAGACACTCTGATCGAAGAAGATTCATAATCTTACCAACCGATTTGGTATTCTTGCATCACTTGATTATTTGACGATGCATGAGTAGTGCTTCGAACACACTTATGATTGAAGACATGCAGCCTGTGCATGTTTCCTTTTTTTCATATACCATAATTGACACCAACATAGTCCACAGCAAACTAGCACATAATAGATTTTACCAAATCCACAATTATATGTTACGTCAGGATCAAAAACGACACCGATTTATCCGATTACATAATCTTACCGGCTAACCATTCATCTTGTTTTAATCGTCAGAAATGTTGGTGTCATGACTTGTTTACAAATTGTGTCTGTGAATTCCTATGAATGGTTGATGTATGATAATGAGTACAGTATTTTCAGTGCTACAATTTAATGTTATTGGTGCATCCTTTCATTCTCATGTGCATCACATGAAGTTCAACAACCCGTAAATCAAATAACCCCTCATAAGTGATTTAATTCGTATTAATATGCTACCTATTCTCCATATTTCGGAAACACCACAACTAAAAATTATATGGTGTATTTGTATGTACTTCAGTTTCGTTTCCAAGAATACTACTGCAAAAAGATTACATAGTCCATCGTGACCAAAAGCAAACAAAAGTTTTTTGTAAGGTTGCTGAATATCGATATGAGCGATTTAAAAACATGTAGTGTCACAAAGACCATGTCTTAAACACAGTGGGGCTCATCAAAGATAGATAGTGTTCAGAATCATTTTCAGTCCTAGGTATTTGTCAGATGTTCATCTTAGTACTTAAGAAGTTAATTGTTAATAATGCACATGCAGTTTCTTCACGAGCAGCTGATGTTTATATTTGCCCCACTCTGACATAACTTTTATACCAGCTTCGTAATCGGGTACACCATCGTAAGCGTAAACGCATAACGTAATCTTGTTATTTTTGGTAGCAGTTAGTCGGTTTAATGATATAGCCACGCAAAAATAGATTTTTATAACAAGTTATGTTTCCAGGTTTGTATAAATGTCTTAGTTCAATATGGTTTCAAGTTAATTGTTATTAAACTGGTTATTTGAAATTGTCAAGTCAAACCGTCTTAATGACACCTACAAATTTAAAGTTATTGTTGGTCGCTAATTATCTCACTAGGTATGTATGACTTATTCCTACCCTTTCAGCTTATGTGAAAAGTTAAACACAGCTATTTCAAATCATATCATCAAGTTAACTTTGAATGTTGGTCAGGATGCTTTCAACATCTGGTCGCTCGTATTTACGGCGTTACAGAAATCAATGAAACAGTAAGGATTATTTCCGATTCTCTTGGTTTTCAATTAGTCCGAACAATGGTTTTCTGGTTTTAACCCTGTTTTACTTTTCTTAGTTTAAATAACCTTGTAATGTCGCCAACTATTTCCTACTAAGCATATTCAGATACCACGTACTTGTACTCGGTTACTGAATTCCATTAGTTATTAGTGAGTAATTTTTTAGTGATTGTCTTCACAGTCCAAAATCATAGGAAAATTTGTCTAAGTTCAAATAGTACTTTTCTGGAACTCATTAGTTATTCATCCGTGACTCCTGAAATTAGAGCCGACAAGAAGAAATACGTGGAAGAACTAGCAACGACGGCAGAAAAAGCTGCTAGAGAAGGAAATATGAAACAGCTTTACGATACAACGAAGAAACTAGCAGGGAAATACAGTAAACCAGAGAGACCGGTCAAGGACAAATAAGGCAAGCCAATCACTGAAATTCAACAACAGCGAAACAGATGGGTAGAATACTTCGAGGAACTCCTGAATAGGCCGGCTCCAATGAATCCACCGGACATCGAAGCAGCACACATAGATCTTCCTATAGATGTCAACCCACCAACGATGGAAGAAATTAGAATGTCCGTCAGACAAATCAAGAACGGGAAAGCAGCAGGACCCGACAACATACCAGCTGAAGCACTGAAATCAGACATCGAAGCAACCATAAGCATGCTTTATCTTCTATTCAAAAAGATTTGGGAGGAGGAACAAGTGCCGATGGACTGGAAAGAAGGACACCTCTTCAAGATTCTAAAGAAAGGAGATCTGAGCAAATGTGAAAACTAAAGAGGCATTACACTACTGTCAGTACCAGGGAAAGTCTTTAACAGAGTGTTGCTGAACAGGATGAAGGATGCAGTAGACGTTCAACTTCGAGGTCAACAAGCTGGATTCCGTAAGGATCGGTTGTGCACAGACCAAATTGCGACACTACGGATCATCGTCGAACAATCAGTTGAGTGGAACTCATCACTATACATCAACTTCATTGATTATGAAAAGGCATTTGACAGTGTAGATAGGAGGACATTATGGAAACTTCTTCGACACTACGGAGTTCCTGAGAAGATTGTCAATATTATCCGGAACTCATACGACGGACTACAGTGCAAAGTAGTGCATGGAGGACAGCTGACAGATGCATTCCAAGTAAGGACCGGAGTCAGACAAGGCTGTTTACTCTCTCCCTTCCTCTTTCTTCTGGTGGTCGACTGGATTATGAAGACCTCGACATCTGAAAGAAAACACGGAATACAATGGACAGCTCAGAATCAATTAGACGATTTGGACTTCGCAGATGACCTAGCCCTCCTTTCACGTACACACGAACAGATGCAGATGAAGACAGCCAGTGTAGCAGCAGTCTCTGCATCAGTAGGCCCCAGCATACACAAAGGGAAAACCAAGGTCCTCAAATTCAAAGCGGAAAACAGCAATCCAACCACTCTTGATGGCGAAACTCTGGAAGATGTAGAGTCCTTCACATACCTAGGAAGCATCATCGATGAACAAGGAGGCTCAGATGCAGACGTAAAGGCGAGGATCGGCAAAGCAAGGGTCGCATTCCTACAATTGAAGAACACATGGAACTCAAAACAACTTTCAACCAATATCAAAGTGAGAATCTTCAATACGAACGTCAAGGCAGTTCTACTGTATGGAGCTGAAACTTGGAGAACTACAGCAACCACAATCAAGAAAGTTCAAGTATTTATAAATAGCTGTCTACCCAAGATACTCAACATCCATTTGCCGGATACCATCAGCAATAGCCTTCTGTGGGAGAGAACAAACCAACTTCCAGCTGAAGAAGAAATTAGGAAAAGACGATGGAAATGGATAGGACATACATTACGCAAATCGTCAAACTGTATCACGAGGCAAGCCCTAACTTGGAATCCTGAAGGGAAGCGAAAAAGAGGAAGGCCAAAGAACACATTGCGTCGGATAATAGAAGCAGATATGAAAACGATGAATTACAACTGGATGGAGCTAGAAAGGATTGCCCAGGACAGGGTTGGATGGAGAATGCTGGTGAGTGACCTATGCTCCTTCACGAGGAGTAACAGGCGTAAGTAAGTAAGTAAGTACAATCGGTCACCACTTCAAGCAAATAAACCTTATCTCGTTCAGCCTAAATTGTATAGTTATCATATATAGCATCTTACGATCTGAAAAATCTCACTGTCATCATGTAGTACTTCTTCCATCCTTATTATTGTTGTGTTACCTAGTGTTGAAGAATGCGACGTAATTTTAAATTATAGTAATATTCATTAAATGTTTGTGCTGAAGTGTATTTATCATAACATTTTACGAATTTAGTAGTTGACCATAACACCATTTGTTACAAATAATTTTCTCGGTTTTGCGATGTACCAGTATACACTTCTTCATTACAAGTCAATTGTGTTCGAGTAGCTTAACCATGACTATATCTATTGTCCACACACTCAATTTATGTAAGTTAATATTTCTGAACAACTGGCATGTTTATTATTTGACAAATAAGGATAATTTGCTTCCCTCAATTTAATTCAGTTTTATTTTAAACGAAGGAATTCACACCTTACAATTTTCACTTTCCCCTAGGTTAGAATACTGGATGACAAATAAAGCTTATGGAAGCCAATCTTTTGAAAATGATTGCAAAAGTATATCAGTACCTTTAAAAGTTCATCCATCATGTGGTATACTTATTTCACGTGCTTGGTATGCTTTAGTAAATTACTGTCCTTCCATTATTGCAGCCTCAATTGCTGCCACCGGACAAATTGAATCAATTCATCCCGTACATTCTGACATCGAAAATTCCGATCGTTTGGTACATTCTATGGACAGTACTTTACCCATGTATGAAAGCTAAAATTTTGATATGTTTAAAGACATTTTTGAAAAAACTGGTCGATTACAGTCTCTGAGAAATCGACTTTATAAACATTTTTTGTTAATGTGATTTAACATCATGCGTGGCACCAGATAATTCACATTAATTCGTTTAAATTGCAAGTTTTTACTTCTTTTAATTCGTCAAATTTAGAATTTTTTTATATTTTGGTTACTAGTCCACAGATTTGTGAGTAATTCTGATGAATCTGGCAATGCCAAGTTATTTGAATTACAATTGTGATACTAATCATGAACCAGGTTTTTTTGTGCAAGTACATCATTTAGATATCCGATAATCAAACTTAATACACATCTTATTATAAATTTCCAACTCATCGTGATAGGTATTGTCATACGACGCCATCATTAGCGAATATACCTTTTCTTAATATGATCTGTTTTATGTCTTCTAATAGGTAGTTGAGTCTGTCTTGTTTTTGGAGATCGGTACGAATACATATGGGAGTTAGAATGTAGCCAATACTTGCGTCTTCTAGATAATCTAACTCAATTTTGATAAAAGACACACTGATTGCTTTTTATGTCTATCATACTCGCATAATTTCTTCAGAAGTTATCTAACTTATCCATCGAAGTTCACTACATTTTTGTTTGATATCTCCATGTGTATATTTACTTATTTCTTAACAATATGGGTTTTTTGTCTTACCAATTATATAAAATCTTTATTTATTGATGACTTTCAACATACTTAATTTGCTGTTCTCCTTCGCATCGTTCTGTCAACTTTCAGAGATTGATTTACTCTTCAAGACTGTGAAGGTTGTTTTTAAGAATAGCATTCCCCCACCTTCCCTATTTGATAAAGTTTTGAGAAACATTAAAACTATTTAAATCCATTATTAGTTTAAAGAGGAAGAATATATTTGTAAAGTTTCAGAAAAAATTTGAAGTAAATCCAAGGATATACTTCCTTGAAAAAAACTTGCCAGACGAAACGTTGGTTTCACTTCAAATTCTTTCGCTGAGATTTTACAAATACATTTTTCCTCTTAAATGTCTCACATCAACTCGGCGCCTAAATACTGTGAAACTATTCGGTCAAATTTAGACGAAAGTTCTTATTTATTATTCCCATTGTTAGTTTGTTAAAAATTTAGATAATTTTCTTCTTGATTGATCTCTAACACGGTAGAAATGATCATTAGTAGATATACAGTAATTCATTGTCAAGTTTTTTCACCTTTCTTAATATATTGTTTATTAGTTAATATGAAATTTTATTCTGTATTTTGAAAACAAGATTTACCTAAATTGCAGTTGTTGAAATAATGTGTGGTAAGAGCTTGATTATACTCCACGTATTTAGAATGTATATAAAAATGTTGTATGTTGTACTTTTTAGTGTACAAATAGATTATCAAAAAGAAAATCATATAAAGTATTCAGATGTTCACTAGGCACTGGCCCTATGTTGTCAGTGTAATTTTTTAAAATTATTTATATCTAGTTAATATAACCGTTATGGTTTCTTCAGCATTTACCCTTCCACTTTTTGTACGCTTAGGGAAAATCTAGTGTGGAAAAATATTTCATTGCTGCGTTGTAAATGGGAATCATTGAGTCATTCGTTATTTGAAGTCATTAACCAGATCACATTTGATTCGTTGGTAAAAGGCGCAGTTGGGCATACAATTCTTGACGAATTTCGTGATAGTTTATGTTCAACTTTTTTGATCAATTCCAAACAAACAGATAATGAATTTAAAAGTGATACGAAATTGGACTTAGTTTTTAATAAAAATAAAGTTGAAAGTCTTTTAATGAAATACGCTAACACAGATGCCATACTGAGCGGTATAATAGTAAGTAAAAAATCACTACTTTGTATGTTGTATGTTCATTATTACTTCTCCATAATAAATGATAATAATGGATAAACAAACACTGATCAGTTGAACTCTTAAATATAGATTTATAGTTCTCATTTACCATTACTTTCGTAACTTACACTAGCCTACACTTTGTTGCCTATTTCACAGAAACAATCTTCATATAACTTAAGAACCATAGCTTTATAAGGTTTTTGATACGTTAAGTTACAATCATCATAATTATAGTGACGGGGATTTATGAGTCAAAAACAATGTCCGTAGTGTTCTATTCTCTAAAATACCAGTTAATATAGCACAACTATTTTTTTATTTTATTAATTGAAATAATCGGGTTACATTTTTTAAAAAAATCTATGGATGTGGATTAAGTTCTAAGTAGAGTGTCTTTTCATAGTTAGATTAAAAATTGATGCTAATTCGTTGACTCATTGACTGTTAATATCAACCATGAAGAAGACTGTTGGCTTTTGTGACTAAATTTTATTGTTTGTTGCAATACGTTTATCTCCACTTTGTACAATGGACAATAATAGAGCTTGTAGGAAACAATTACCTACAGACGCAATTCTTAGCTAATCCCCAGGCTGTCGAACAGTCTTAGCTTGGTCAAGGTCAGGCCAAGTGAACTACTTGTCTTGATAAACTTTGCCTGTATATAAAACGTAAATTAACACTGTTAGTTTACAAAAGAACAATTTATGCAGTATTAAACAGGAAAAGAAAGCGATAGAGATAACATATCAAACAGTAACTGAGGCATCGGCACAATTAGTCAACAAAACTCAATATTGTTTATAACAAATATGAAATATAGCGATTGGTGAATAAACAAGTCCTATTTATATACGGTCCAAAAGATTCTATGTGATGGTGCGCGTTTAGTACTGTCCTTACTGGGTTCCTTTATCGATTGCCCCCAAATGCCCTAGTACGGCCGAGAGTGGGGAGAGTCCGCTCTCCCTCTCGAAATGCTCTCACATGGCCACGCGTATATATCCTCTGCTGGGGAAGTTCTACTCACTACCTTCTCGTGGCGGGGGTGTTGTTTACGAAAGTGAGAGGACAAAAAGCAAATGTCCGGCGCTTTAACCGGGTTGGTGGACATGGAGAGTCCACCCAGGGGAGTTGGAAAACCCCGATTCCAAACCAATGGTGTCCATAAGCTCCAGGATCCTGCGGGAACAAATGGCGTATGAACCAATCGTTGGTCACCAGCTACCATGGTACTGCATTTCCTGATGTTGTTCCACTGCTTTGTGTATTAGACCTTTAAGTCAAAGTCTCCGGGTGTGGCCCTCTAAGAAAACCACCTGCTTTGGTTTGGGCACCCAGGGAGTATCACAGCCCTGACACATATCAAATGAGATTTGTGTGGCGCATATGTATTTGGTGCCTCCTTGTACCAATATCTATGTGTTAAAATAAATATTATTATTATTTGAACACATATATATTGGTACAGGAGTGCGCCAAATATATATGCGCCACACAAAACAATGATAATTTAAGAACAAGAAAAAAAGTGGGGAACGTAAAAAAATTTAAAAAAACAATAAGGAAGAGATTGGTGTAAGCTAGTGTAATAATAATAGTAATAGTAGGGGAACAGAAGGGTACAATCAGAAGAAATATTTCAGTTAAGGAAGATACAACCACGTTTTATGAAGAAAGTAAAAGAAGGTTACAGCATGATCGCCACTGGCTTCTTTTCTGAGCCATATCTGATAACGTCACTAGCCACTGTGTTGTACCATCTCTCGGAACCCAACCAGGGAGTCGTGAAGGACCAACACAAGCCAGCTCTTTGCAGCTTTCATACCAGGACACCATGTCATATACTGACCACCTCTCCGTTTTCCCCAACCAGTCCCAGAGCCGGCAAATAATGCACGACGTGGAATTCTCTGGGACGACATTCGTAGAACATTTCCAAGCCATCGGTGTTTCAATATGGTGACACCAATTGCATTATCGTCTATGTGCCCGAACACACGATGCCGAACCTCTGCATTACTAACATGGTCTTGCCACTGGATGTCAGCAATCCTTCGGAGACAACGATGATCGAACACAGAGAGTCGTCTAACGTCCTCAACTCGGAGAGGCCAGGTTTCACAAGCATAGAGCAAGACTGCTCTCACCGACGCGTTGTAGATCCGACCTTTTACATCCAGACTAACATCACGAAGGCGCCAAAGATGGCCCAGATTGGCCTAAGCCGCTCTGGCTTTCATTATTCGTGCATTGATCTCATCACTCGCACCCCCACCAGCACTTATGCAGCTACCCAGATACACGAACTTCTCGACTACGTCTATCTGCTCACCATTCAGGGTGAGTACAGGATTGGAATCCTGCCAGTCTTGTAGAAGTGCTTTGCAATTCGAAGGTGCAAAGCACATACCATACCTACGGACACTGATTGCCAACTGATTAAGTGCGGATTGCATGCCTTGGGCATTATCGCACAGTAAGACAATATCGTCCGCGTACTCAAGGTCGAGAAGTCTTTCTCCAGGCAACAGATCCACACCACCATTACTTACATTCATCAGAGCTGTTTCTAGAATGTCATCGATGGCAAAGTTGAAGAGGAATGGTGAGATTGGGCAACCCTCCCTAACCCCACTGCTCGAATGGAACAATGGAGAGAGGTGGTTGTATGCCCTCACTCTGCCTGAGGTGTTTGTATACAGGGCTTTTAGGATGTTAATAAACTTCTCAGGCACACCCTTCTTCAATAGACAATCCTAGAGAACAGTCCTATTCAACGAATCGAAGGCAGCCCTGATGTCAAGAAACACTACGATTGTTGGCCTTTGATAAGTAAGACGGTGTTCTAACATTTGGCGAAGGGTGAAGATATGATCAATACATCCTCTACCAGAACGAAACCCAGCCTGCTCCTCGCGATTCAATCTTTCTCGGGTTTTGAACAACCTACGAAGTATGACGGAAGCCAATAGCTTGGACGCAATCGGAAGTAGACTTATCCTCCGATAGTTGTTACAGAAACGATGTGAAGCCTTTTTAAAGATAGGGACAACTATGAACTCATTCCATGACGTTGGTACACTCTCTAGTTCCCAGACTTTTGTAAACAACGTCGTCAATTCCTTAGTCAGAAAGTCACCACCATCTTTAAAAAGAGCCGGAGGTAAGTCATCTGGGCCAGGCGATTTGTAACGCTTCAGGAGTTGGAATTCCTTGCGGACTTCTGCCTCATTTTTTGAATCAGTCGTCACCGGGCATGGAGGGCAGGACAGTCCGACCGATTTTGCCGGAGCAGTAGGCCAGTTGAACTGCCCTTCGAAGAATTCTGCCCATCGCCCAAGACGTCGATGGATGTTAGTGATTGGCATCCCATCATCCTCGCAGATTTTTTCACTCACACCAGACTTCTTGCTGCCAGTTGCTCGGATGAGTTGGAAGAGCTTCCGTTAATTACCAGCTGCTGCTTCCAGCTCATTAGCACGCTCCGACCACCAGGCTTCTCGGTCCTTACGCAAGCTTTGCACGATTTCCTTACGTAACAACCTTCGTTTGTGGTCAAACTCACGGTTACCCGGAGTAGACCGACGGGCTTCAATGAGTTGTAAGGAACCAGAAGAAACCCAGTGCTTATAAGCGGGACGTTTCGCGAACCCACAACTGACTGTACCCGCCATTTTCATGGCGTCATGCAATTGCAACCAATGCTTATCTATACTTTTCGGTGGAGTGATAGCTAGCCTAGAGGCTAGCTCGGTTCGATACTTACTTGCAACAGAAGTTGCAAACAGCTTGCTAATATCAATCCGTTGATGGCGGTCACTTCGTTGGCCACTGAAAAGTAAGGTAAGATTGGCGCAGACCAAGGCACGATCAGAGTCCAGATAGGTACTCTAAAAGGAGCGACAGTCTTTTACACAACCACGCCAGCGGTAGCTGATCGCGATGTGATCGATCTGAGTCCAGGCTTGAGACGAAGAGGGAGGACGCCAGGTGGCACATCGGCGATGACCGTGCCGAAAGTTAGTGCTGGCCAGAAATAGGTTGTGGTCTGTGGACAGTTGCAGTAGACGGTCCCTGCTATCTGTCCTGCGACTAACAAGTCCTCATCGGTCACCTAAACGACTCTCTTCTGCGCCTAGACGCCCGACCTGAGCATTCAAGTCTCCGGCTAGTACTAAAATATCCGTCGAACGCACTTTCTGGAGAAGAACAGATAACTGGTGGTAAAACTCATCCTTGATTGCATCCGGGCTGCAATCTGTCGGAGCATAGACGGAGATGACGAAAAGATATCGTTTTTCAGGCCGATTTCTTCTCACTTTGATTGAACTTTCTAATCTAACAGCACATAACCGACTGTTAATGGGGATCCAATCGACTAGTGCTGCCTCAGCTCTGGCGCTTAGTGCGACACCAACGCCAGCAAGACCAGACGAAGATGCCACAGGGTCCCCGGATAAACGCACGTAAAACAAGCTTTTTGAAGCGACAGATGGAGATCGAATTTGTAGTACTTCATCAGAGTCTTGAATACGGGTCTCAGATAGACAACAAACATCGATATTAATACTTTCTAAAGACATAGCCAGCCGTATCTGTTGTCCGACCTGCATAAGTGTGCGAACGTTGAAGGCAGCCAGTTTGAATGGTGCACGTGGTTTCAGAAAAACTGCTTCAGTACTCATATTTGGTGGTAACATACAATTTTCGACCGGACAGTGACTCGAGAGCGTTTAGATACAGTCGAATTTCCACCATAGACGAGCTGCTGTATAAGTCGAAAAAAAGTATAGACATAGGAGGAATAAAAGAGGGTGAATAATGACGTAGTAAATAATAATAATAATAATAATAATAATAATAATAATTGAATCATTTGAATGTTCGTCGAAGCAAGAGAATTAGTTTCCATGATCATAGACAGTTCATTAATTGCGTGTGGGCTGCGATACTTCCCGGGTGCCCAGACCTAAAGGTCTAATAATAATAATTCTTTATCAATCACGCCTTAAAGGGCTTATGCATTAATTTTCCTTCATTCCCGAATTACACATCTTATTTTTAAATTTGTATTTTCGTCAGGCACATACTGTACTTTTGTTCCTTTTTTGATTTCCCATCACTGTTATGAGGCTGTTCGGGACATGGTAGTTTTTGTCTTTCACTCTTCATCCGTTAACCACAAATGTTTCGAGAAACAAACAATACTTTGTGAGTTGCATAATTTAAACTCGAAACTTAAACCATAAGTGTCTTAGATTGACTGCTGGATAATGTTTTAATGAGTCCAATACCTATTTCATATATATTTATCATTTAAGAAATCATTTCATTTTTAGCCTTTTGAAGAAGTCCGACTTGAATTACATTCTTCCGAACTCACAGATGTTGATGGTAATTCGTCTGCTGTTGTGCGCATACCTTCACAACTTTCTCTACCAACTCATCATTTACTTTTAAATATTGTTTATACAATGGGAAAATTTGTTGTACATAAATCACTTCCGTAAGTGTTTTTTGTCTGATCAGTTATAGTTCGTTTATCAGTTAATTTTTATGTTTACTTGTATGTTCTAAATTCTTATGTTGAATTGTGTAAATTTTTTGTCTTCATTTATATATTCCATTTCGTTTATTAATTTAAATGAAAGCTAGATTGAATACAAAAAATTTAAACTGTCATTCATAAATGTAGTCTTCGATAGCTTATTGATTAGAAAGGCATATGTATGCTGTTCTAAAAGCTCACTGGAAACTTGTAAAGTCTAAGTTTTGACCTAAGTACTTGTTAACCTCTTCATAATTTTAATTAATTCTCTAAAGACAATTAGTTTTTTACTAGAAATATCAGCATGCTATAACTAAAGTTGATAAAGCCTACTCTTTTTGTAGTTTCTGTTGTGTATAGCTGCCTTTTAGTGATGTAGAGGCTCAGCCTATAATTGGGGAAATACTTTGACACTTGTAAGCTAAAATTATGTGTAAACTACACACAGTAATTGTATACAAAGACCTAGTACATAGGAATTATAATGAGTTACTGAAATGAATTAATTGTTTAATTCTTTACTTCGTAAACTGCCCCTGAATGCCCTGGTACGACCGAGAGTGGGGAGAGTCCGCTCTCCCTCTCGAAATGCTCTCACATGGCCACGCGTATATATCCTCTGCCGGGGAAGTTCTACTCACTACCTTCTCGTGGCGGGGGTGTTGTTTACGAAAGTGAGAGGACAAAAAGCAAATGTCCGGCGCTTTAACCGGGTTGGTGGACATGGAGAGTCCACCCAGGGGAGTTGGAAAACCCCGATTCCAAACCAATGGTGTCCATAAGCTCCAGGATCCTGCGGGAACAAATGGCGTATGAACCAATCGTTGGTCACCAGCTACCATGGTACTGCATTTCCTGATGTTGTTCCACTGCTTTGTGTATTAGACCTTTAAGTCAAAGTCTCCGGGTGTGGCCCTCTAAGAAAACCACCTGCTTTGGTTTGGGCACCCAGGGAGTATCACAGCCCTGACACATATCAAATGAGATTTGTGTGGCGCATATGTATTTGGTGCCTCCTTGTACCAATATCTATGTGTTATAATAAAATAGAATATACTAGTACAGCATTTATATTATTGAGACCGTGAATATCTCTCAGAGTAGGATTGCAAACCAGTTGGTACAATATAGTAACTGTAAATAGAATAATGTGAAGAAATTTCTTGTCATTGTAATCATGAATAGATCAATGTTAGATCGCCATTTCGAAACCTGGATCGCTTTATGATTTCAGTGAAATTCAACAACATATATATTAAAAGTAATTTTTCTTTTTATTAAATGTCAAAATAGGGATTTTCGCTATAATGTAAATAAAATGACAGACATACCTTTTTTAACTTACAAGCGTTTTCATTGTAGTAAGAAATCAAACTTGGAACCTGTTGTTGAATACCATCTTGGATTCGTTGAGTTTGTCAGTATCTTGAAGGAAGGCTGTCTTAAACGTTGTAATGCCATTTCTCTAGTTGTCCAGTGCTTCTTTAGTTTCAGTTTCATCCTGGACACAACGAAGTGTTTGTGCGCATCTTGGATCAAATGGGTTTCACTTATCCCGAGCACCATTAAGTTGTATCTCCTCATTTCCGCAGTTATTTGATTGGTCCTCCCACATAGTTTGAACATTCCATGTACCTATAATAATTGTTTCTCTGGTTGTTAGAATGATCATCGGTCTCGTGACTTCCGAAGAATATCGGCTTTCACTGTGAGGTGTCATAATTCTTCTGAAAGAATGTCCTTTAATTCCAGGGACAGAGTTTGGATAGATTTATTTATTATAGCTAGCGTTTTTTAGCAAGGTGGCTTTCTAGGGGATGAAGTTGCTGACCCCGCGCCCAGCCCTCCGCCTTTATCCGGGCTCGGGAACATCAGTAACCCTATAAAAGGTACAGGCTGAGTTTCGTAGAATTTACGCATCATTAATTCACGTCTAAGTCTCATGGATATCAACATATAAATGTCTTCCTGAAAAAAAAACTAGTGCCACTGCAGGCTGATAAGCTGGGTGCGTTGACTCAGATTTATAATCGCAAAACTTCCTGTTGGTAATTGATCTTCATAACGTCGAGATAACTGTCTTAATCTTGCCTTAACAAAATGCTTACTGTTATACTTAAAACGACCAGTAATTAATTACAAAACTACGATTGGCAATGTATATCATGTGAGAAATTGCAGATCAGCGTTCAGATTGCAAACCTTACACTTATACTTAATAATCTGCATTCCACTCTTTTATCACTTTACAGATCACCATTTAGTCATCTATTTTTATCTAAAGTATGCACCTCATTATTTGAAATATACTCCAGTATTGTTGACGAACTGCTGTCACATCAAGATATATCAATTCAATGCACAGACGAAGCATCAATATGGTTTTCGGATTCTTTGCAAAAGTCGATGCAATCACGGGCTTTACAAATTATGTTCGATTTAAAATTCCTCCAACGTTTATTAGTTTCGTCTGTATCTGTTAGTGAAGCTAGTCTTGCTCAGGCAAGTTGAATAAATGTTCATATGAAGGTTGTATAACTGTTTTCAATTTTTAATTTATCGTCAATAGTATTCTGCACGATTGATTGTTATGCGTCAGAGGTGGGAAAACTAAAGCATGAAGACCGCAAATCTTTTTTGAATTCATTTGGAATTATGCATAGAAATGGTCAGAAGTGAAATCGTACTAAAGAAACATGGTATTTATACTAGAGTTTCAGGAAATGGTGTTTAAAATTAAACTTGATTTACTAACTAAGCAACTTGAGGAATTTAACTATAGTCAGTTCCTAACACTAACCACACAAATGATTTCATTGGAAACTGATCAGGAATACAATCGCCAGATTTCAGCGCTCAATTATAAATTTCCACGATGTTTTAAGTATTTCAAAACACGTGAATCACAGTGTAATTTACTGGATTTTTCATTTGCTTCTGATATTAATGAAGTTAATTGTGTTCTTCAGTTGAAGTTAAAAGATCTACAGGGTGATAGGAGCCTGAATGGACGTCACAAATGTGCAAAATTGACTAAATTATATACGTAAAGTTAACAGAGGTTAACTTTTACAACCTGAAATTTTTTTCACGTGAAATGTTCTCTCTTTAGGTTGACTTATATTTGTGAGCCGGCGTTTTTATGTATAAATTTAAGTAAGTCAATATTTTAGAACTGGGAAGGATAGCTCAGGACAGAGTTGGATGGAGCTATCGTATCACATTGTGGTCAAACATACAAATCAAGTTCAGTTTCCTTTACTTGGCTTTGAGCTATACCTAATGTTTAAGGACTAGGGATACTATCTGGGTGTCCAGATCGAAGTGGGTGAAGCACAACATGATTTTATGGCTTAGTGACTGAACATTGACACCTTAAACACTAGGTCACCACTCCACATCAGTGCTGAGCACACGATTCGGGAGTTCGACTAATCTTTTTCATTTTTTCTCTTCAATCTACATGTACAATCATGCATACCCTCTTTGTTTCCAATAATCAGTTTTATTCAGTCAATCAGATTACCTTTGTCCGAATCCTACCAGTATTTTTTTATATCAATCCCTAACCTTAGCAAAAACGTAACGGTTAGATAATGGTCGAAAATTTGTCTATGTTATATTTCAGTTCAAAATGGTGATCACTAGAGTTTCCATACGTTGGAGTTTCCAAAATCGCTTTAATTATGGCATTTTTTTTTAGACAAGTAGAAATACTCCCACACATTTCAATACTTCAAAGTATAAAATTTTATTTTGTCTTTTCATCCAGTATTTGTTTTATTCTTTTTAAAGAAAAATCAAATGGATGTCTCGTCAAAACGTGTTCAATCAATGATTCAAGAACTCACCTCTCGTTTAGAAACACTTGTTGATCCTTTCGATTGGAATGTATGTGCTTCGAAATTAAGTCGTAATGTTGCAAATACAATTACATCTACATATCATCTGTACGCACCTATTCTTGGTTCGAGTTCGTTTGCACAAGTTGAAACTTTGAGAGGCATTAAAGCAATCTCAAAAGAGGAGACAAATGACAATAAATCAACCTGTTTTTTTTTACCATGTATTTCTGGCACAAAAAATAAGACAAAGTTGAACTTAAATCCTTTACCATTTAATTCATCTATATGTGTCAATAAATGGTCGGTTTTACGAAATGGAAATCCATACGCAAAGCAAATATGAGTGTAAGATTTCATCGCGATTTGTCATTGATACATTCATATACTTAGCGTATAATGCCAGCTTACACGAAACTGATACTCATATTTTTATGACCGACTGACAGAAAAACATAGACTCGGAATATTTATCTGAATGGGCTGGGAATAACTTCAATGCCGATTGACTGGGATGTGGATCTTTCTGAAGGCATCTATTCCATCAGTTCCTTTTACATCTTTTCCTGATGAGTGCAAACAAATATAAAATAATGACTATTTAGGACTCTAAATGGACATTTCCACAACAATACTGGATCATTTAACTGCGTGACTACACTGAATTTCGCTCTGATCACGATCTAATACTTGAAACCCTGGTAAACATTTCTTAACTACTCCAGAAGTTGACGATTCACTACTTCATCAACCGTTTCGCCATCGTGACTTAGTATCCTATGCCAAACCTCAGATTTAGCCACTAGTTATCCCCAAAATATAGGGGCGATACTTTGAAGACATTAATGATCGGATAACCTACGAATATCATGTACTGTTGATTGCTGTGGTTCACCCATAGAGTAGAACAGAGCGAACTGGTGCTTAGTAAAACTGTTCTTTGATTAGAATATGAACATCTTGACTACGTCACAGGTGACATAACTCACTGAGGTTTTGTCAGATACCAACCCACTAGGGTTGATGAAATTTCCAAAATAAGTGGGGTGATTTATCGGTATTGTGAAATTATCTTAGTGTACATATTTTTCTGTTTCTTCTATTTATATACACATACAAAACGTAAGTAGTTCAGGTTAAACTACAAACATCAGATAATCATAATCAACTTCACTTTTCAGCTAACAACAAGGAGAAATTAGGATTTTAAATCTTGTTTTAATTGTTCACGAGGAACATTAGAGAGAAGAATCTGTAGAAAATATGTTGATCTATGATCAGCACCAAGGCTTGACTGACTTTTCCTTTAACTTTGCTTGAAAACTTGCTTTTGTTGTAGTATCCGTCATGCGTCCAAAATACTGGAATTTCCAATGCTTATCTCAACATAGTGCACGCAGTTTCAAGTCACCTAGACTGGTGGATACATTGCAACTTGGTCGATAGCATTCGATCTGCACTAACAAGGACTTGACTCACATGACATTGATCACCACCCAGTGATCAATCATTTGTAATAGCTTAGTTTTATTTGATCTAATAGAGGATAATATTCTTCATCCAGTTAGTTGTGTTCCTATCAACATATTTCTGATAGAATTTTATATACATAAAGTTACTTAATTGGTATTTCTTTATATCGTGAAGATATTTAATTGTGTATTATATGTTTTAATTTTTATTGATTTTCTTACTAGCTCATTTACATACTTTCCCCCGCTGTGATTTATCTAAGTTTGTCCTTAAACATGGGATCGTAGTGAATAGTACTTTTTTTCGTGATGGACATTTTTGCAATACATTCTATTTGTATTAAACTTGGCTTTTTATGAAATAAATGCCTACTTTGTCACTATTGGTTTTTTATATCGCTATATTATCCTTGTTACCCACAGTCTCCTAGCTATGTGAAAAGTCATTTACTTGAATAACAGACTGAAGTCCAGATCTTCGTGGTGACTTTCCGAATTGATTTTGTTCTTTAGTGAGTTGTAGAATTCCATCTGCATAAAGACGTTATAACAGTTAAGTCGATCATTCTGCGATTTATGCTTTTTACGCAAACAGCATATTTAGATTGCATCCGATAGTAACACTATGTGCAGTCGCAGATTACCTACTTATGTATATATAGTTTTAAGATTTTTTAAAATACACACTAGCAAAAAGTTAGACGGCACGATATTCCCACATAAACTCATACACAAAGACACGTGGATTTCACCTGCTCACATTACACAGAGCCAAATCGGTAATATCTGCATCGATAAAAAGTTCAGGAGGACTATGGAGGATGTTAAAACTAAGACTAGTTGGCATAGCCTCAGATCATCACTTGCTAGTCAGTCAGCTACAACGTAGGACCAGGCACATATGTGCATCAGTCCAAGTTGCCGTACCTCATTAGCACAGCAACACGAACACCAGATTCATAGAAGCAGTCAACTCAATGGTTGTAATATATAAAAGAATGTTTCTCTGTAAGGATGTAGTACAGAAAAAAAATTAGTTCGTAGAAAGAAAAATATGATGTGATTTCAATCCCACAGTTTAAGGGGAGACAAAGAGTATATACACCTACGCCATTGTGACCCGTTCTGAGCCATGCCACTCAGAGTCTCCAACCATTCATTAGGATATTCGCGCGGACTTCAAGTAGCCTGTATCTACCAACATGGCTCAGATCAAAAGTCAGTGACTTCATCAACAGATACCGCGTTTTGGTTTAGTCTTCCCTAACTTTCTGCCATGTCTCTAACATGAGTCAGCATTGCGCGCCGTTGTAGTCAGTACTTGGGCATGCGTAATACGTGCCCTAACCACCTCAATCGATGGAGATCCACAACCTCATCAACTGATTTACCATCATTCCCTAATACTTTGCGTCTTACCTCACTACTACTTACTCAGTGTTCCTATCAGATGCGAGCAATATTTCTAAGACATCTGAGATCGAATAATGATAACTAGCGAGTATCCTCTACCCTTAATGTCGACGCTTCGCAACCGTAAAGGAAAACAGAACTAACTACTGAGTAGCATACTCTTCCTTTAATTGATAGACGGGTATTTCGCCTTCGCCATAGGTGACAAAAGTTGGCAAAAGCCAAATCCGTGCAGTGATTTTGTCAGACACCAACCCATTAGGGCTGATAAAACTTCCAAGATAATATAAGTGAAGTTGTCGAAGCGTTTGACTACTTCACTCCCTATCATCAGTTCAGGTGTTCACACAGGCCAGTCCTGGAGCAACTTGCATTTAGAAGGGGAGAGACGCATACCAAACATTCTGGCATTGTTGCTCAGTGCTACCAAGACTGCATTTTTCAGAGTCTTCACCAAACAGGACTATCGTCTGCATATTCTAAGTCGATAAGTGAACCTCCCTGTAGGAGATCAATCCCCAAAAATTCAGACGACGAGAACGTTATTTCCAGCAGTAGGATTATGATGAAGTTGAACAAAAATGGAGATAGTGGACAGCCTTACCGGACACCACTTGAGGTTGTAAAATCAGATGACAGTTCTCCATAAGCTCTCACTGGACTGGTAGTGTTTAAGTAAGGAGCCCTGACGAGGTTTATGTGCTTTTGAGGTACACATTTCAATGACAGACAGTGCCATAGCACCTCTCGGTTTACAGAATCAAATGCCGCTTCTAAGTCAAGGAAGACCATCATTGTGGACACCGATAAGCATCCCTGTGTTCTGGAGTCTGGCGAATGGTGAATATGTGGTCGATGCAGCCACGACCAGGTCTGAAGCCAGCTTGATTTTCTCGTTATTGCAGTTCACGAGTCTTAGTTAGGCGTCTGATAATTATCGAGGCTAGTATTTTAGATACTATATTAGTTAAACCAATCCCTCTATGGTTGTCACAGGATGATTTTACCCTCTCTTATATATTGGGACGATAAGGTATTGTGACCAATCAGATGGGATTACGCCCGACTCCCAGATTTTAGTTAAAATATTAGTCAACCTAATCGCTAAAATTGGACCACCATCCTTAAAGACCTCTGGAGCCAATCCATCTGGACCAGCTGCCCTTCATCGTTTCAGATTCACTATAGCCATTTGAACTTCTGCTAGAGTTGGGGGACCTACTTCAATGTCTCATTCACACTGTCTGGGAATTGAGGGTAGTTGTAGAGTAGCTGAAGGCCAGCCGAACTGTTTTCTGAAAAGTCCTGCCCATCCTCCTAAGCGTCTGGACTGAGAGCAGATGAGGGTGTCGTCTTTTTCCGAAATAGTCTGACTTACACTTGACTTATTAATTTTAGTTTTTTTTATTAGTCTGTAGAGCTGTCTGGTGTTACCTACAGCCGCCGCCTTTTCCATCTGTTTTGCTTTCGTTGCCCACCACTGCTCACGGCCGTTTCTTAGATATTTGCTTAATCTAGATCTGATTTGCTTACGCATTACATCGTGTTCAGAACCTGATGGGATGAGTTTGCGAGAATCTATCAGTGCAATAGACCTTTGTATCCCTTTGGTTTAAATCACTAATATCTTTCCAAGCAACATCTGGATCAGCCTCGTTTTCAGAACTACTTATGTGTGACCTCAGTTGTTCCTGGAACCTACTTTTAGTTTTCTCGCTACTCAATTCAGTTCTAGTGGGTCTTTTTATTGTGGCTTTTTTGCGTCCAGTGAGTCGCAAGCAGATGCGTACCCGTATTAGAGCATGGTCGGAGTCCAAGCAGGTACACCAGAATGAGCGACAATCTTCTATCGACCATCTCCAGCGATGACTGATGGCAATATGGTCTATTTGAGTCTATCGTTGGTTTGGTGTACGGGGTCGCCATATTAGACAATGTCTCTCCTTATGCCTAAAATTAGTGTTTGCTAAAAATAAACGATTGTCTGAGCGCAGTTGCAGCAGACGATCATCATTATCTCTTCGCTGTGCCGGAATACCAAAATACCCACCTAAAAGGTTAAGCGTTCGCGAGCAAGATTGAAGGCCTTGGATTCGAATCACGCGAGCGGGATCGTGGATGCGCACTGCTGAGGAGTCCCACAATAGAACGAAACGGCCGTCCAATGCTTGCACGTTTTCAATGGTGGTCCAACATCAATCGGTTCATGATCCCAATCAATAAATGTCTTTCTGTTTTGTTTCAGCTACCTACCTTGGCATGAAGGTCCCCTGCTATGAGTACTATGTCTGATCGCTTAGCTTTATGAAGCAGTTTAGAGAGCTTTCTGTAAAAATCATCTCTTACTTCATCCGGGCTTCAGTCAATGGGAGCGTAGGCAGAAACGACGAAAAGGCAACGACGTGTGTCCATATCCTTCCGAGTTCTTACGGAGTCGTTTAGCCGAACAGCACATAGACAACTGTTAACGGGCATCCACTCTAACAGTGCTTGTTCCGCCCTCATGCTTAGTGCTATGCCCAAACCTACCAGTCCACAAGAATCAGCCATGGAGTCGCCAGATACACGGATAGTGTGTCTCGTCGGCTCTCCGTTTTGGCGAGGTGAGGTCAAGTGAATGACCACACTAGGATCCTGTATGCGTGTTTCGGATACACAGCATACATAAATGGTACGAGATTCTAGGGTTTTAGCCAAGGAAGCCTGCTGACCGATTTGACATAGGGTGCGTACGTTGAAGGCTCCAATGTGTAGTTTGTAGCGAGGTTTCAGTAGACCTGGGACAGTGTTTCGCGCACTAGAATCGTTGGCTATGGTGACACTTGAGGAGGAAGCCAAAAGAGTAAGTTTAGAGTTGAAATTCGATGTAGGAGTAATGATAAGAATTGAAGGGGTTGATTATGAATACAGTTGTCTTGAATGCTGTTAGAAGTATGAGGGCGGTTATCACTTCTTGGTAGCCTACACCGTGGAGGGGTCCTTCTGGAGGTACCTGAAAAGGAAATTGGAATAAAGGCGGTTTTAGTGACTCCAGAATGTTACCGCAGTGCCCAAGGGACAACTGCTTGAGGTCGGTCACATACAACTTTTTGTTAGTAATTTTCGTATTACCTCCTTACTTGTTTGGATCTTACCACCGGAGACGGATATCCGTGGGATAAGGCAAAGTGCATTTTTAGGGTCGACCTTTTCTAACCCCACCCCTACTTGTGGGGAGGCAGCACCGCTGTCATGCTGGTAGTCTGAATGAAACACATTACTGCTGTCACACCTCTGTACAGTCAGCAGTACGACTTCGCCTTCGGACCTTGGGTTTGTTGCTTTTAGTCTTACTGCTCTTTAACCGACCTGCCTCCCAATCAATGTTGGCCAGCCAACAATTGAAGATATCAGCATGGTCATCAGAAAATCAAGAGACACAAAGCAGCAGGACCAGACAACATTCCAGCAGTCACTGTAAGCAGATGTAGCAGTAACCTTAACGTTACTCCACATTCTCTTTAGCAAGATTTGTGGTAAAAAACGAGTACCAGCAGACTGGAAAGGAGGACACCTGATCAGGATTCCAAAGAAAGGCGACTCCAGCAAGTGTGATAACTACACTTCTATCTGAAGTTTGTGCTGATGATGTCGTTCAGATGAACGATGAAATCTCCACGACCAAACCATCCAGCTCAGAGAACAAAACTCCACCAAAAACTACATTGGCCTCACTCTTCTCTCGATACCAGGAAGTCTTCAGCAGGGTATTTTTAAACAGAATGAAGCACTCCGTAGACGCTTAACTTCGAGACCAACAGGCTGAGTTCCATAAGGATCGATCGTGTACAGACCAAATCGAAACACGACGGATCATTGTGGAACAATCAATCGAATGGAATTCATCACTCTACAGCGATTTCATTGACTACGAGAAAGCGCTTAATAGCGTGGACAAGACAACACCATGGAGACTTTCTCGACTCCACTGAATTCCTATGATGGATTACACTGCAAAATGGTGCATGTCGGACAGCTCACAGACTCGTTAAAGTAAAGACTGGTATCATGTAAGGTTGCTTACTTTTACCGTTTCTCCTAGTGATGGGCTGGATCATGAAGATGTCAACATCTGGGGGGAAGCACTGGATGCAGTGGATGGCTAGGATGTAGCTGGATGATCTAGACTTAGCAGATGATCTGACTCTTCTATCTCATACGCGACAACAAATGTAGGAGAAGACGACTAGTGTAGCAGCAGCCTCAGCAGCAGTAGGTCCCAATATACACAAAGAGAAAAGCAAGATTCTCCGATACAACACAGCATGCACCAATCCAATCACAACTGACGGAGAAGATTTGGAAGATGTAAAAACCTTTACATATCTGGGCAGCATCATTGATGAACAGGGTGGATCTGATGCAGATGTGAAGGCGCGGATCGGCAAAGCAAGAGCAGCATATTTACAACTGAGGAACATCTGGAACTCAAAGCAACTGTCAACCAACACCAAGGTCAGGATTTTCAATACAAATGTTAAGACAGTTCTACTGTATGGGGCAGAAACCTGGAGAACTACGAAAGCCATCATCCAGAAAATACAGGTGTTTATTAACAATTGTCTACGCAAAATACTTCAGATCCATTGGCCGGACACTATAAACAACAACGTACTGTGGGAGAGAACAAACCAGATCCCAACGGAGGAAGAAATCAGGAAGAAGCACTGGAAGTGGATAGGACACACATTGAGGAAAGCACCCAACTGCGTCACAAGGCAGGCCCTCACTTGTAGTCCTCAAGGCTAAAAGAGAAGGGGACGACTAAAGAACACATGACACCGAGAAATGAAGACAGATATGAGTAAAATGAACAAGAATTGGATGGAATTAGAAACGAAGGCCCAGGACAGAATGGGTTGGTGAATGCTGGTCGGCGTCCTATGCTCCATCGGAAGTAACAGGCGCAAGTAAGTAAAAAGTAATTCTGATGTTTAAGTTTTTTAAGTCAATTAATTTGATTGACTAAAGAAAATCTTTTACTGTGCAAATTAGCTCCAATCCAAGCAATTTACCATGTATGCCTAACTTATTCTTCTGTTAGTATGTTTTAAGCAATTTAAACTATTTTATAGAAAAGAGTATTAATTCTGTTTCAATATTTTGTTTATTACGATGAATAAATAAATAAATATCATCCTGATAAATTCTATTTTCAAAAGTAATCGTGAAGCTGTTCCGTTGACGCCATCGGTTAAATTGTTTCATTATGGCTACTCCGTTGTTTTTTCAACCAGAGTTTCTTTTGACAATGTAGTTCCACCTTGAAGAAGAATTGTAATTTAAATATCTACATTTAATTTCCAAGTTATATAATACATTTACTATAAATATAAGCATTTGCTCATGTAAATCTCAGTTTTGCATTAACAAACTTATTATATACATGTACAAGTAAGTTGACGATTATTTTTACTTCGAAATAATACAAATAAATATATTACATCTTTATTTATTTGTTCTTACTCACCTATGCTAATAGTACAGTTCAATGTGTAACAATATAAGGCTAGTGTTTCTTACTTGAGCTCTTTTTCCTGAAAAAACTGAGTGTAAATTGTTTTTTACTACCTGTTGTTAGTCACCAATAATTGGTAACTGCACAATCTATTTATTTTTTCAGTTCCTAGTGTTAATAAATTTAAATCCTCTATAAATCTATGTTAATGTTTGTCGCTTTTAGTCATTGTAATATTTCCTAATCCTTGAAAATGAAAGTTTAATGTCCATGCTAAAAATGTCGTAAACCATGTTTATGCTTTATATAAATGTGTCAACAAATAAACAACAAAACTGCTTCAAAGCATTAGTAAAATAGTAATATAGAACTCTGGATATTCAGTATAATTATTTGCCATGTAATATATAGCATTTTATACTTAAAGAATGTGACTTACTTCTGCTATCTTTAGTCTTCGAGTGTATATATTTTGTTTGCGTGTTAAATCTCGCTCTTCGCTAACCAATTTTACAAAATCGATTACAGATGGTACACGATATGATGAGATTTGGTCCTCGAATTTTTCGTTAAGAGTTCTTTCAAATTGTAATTCCTTCATGAAAAACAGGGAAGTTAAAGTATCCGCGATTATACTCAGTTGGCTCAGGGTGAAGTTTTATCACTATAAGAAAAATGTTCCGCCATGATCTGTTATATTTACTATCATATACAACCAAGCATTTATCTGAGTGCTAGGCTACCTATCGATCTACACTCCTAAACGTTTATGTTCGTATCATTCAGTTAAATAACAGTGGTGTATCTATGTGCTTCTCACTCAGTTTTTATGAGAAACAGCCATTTTTCACTTCAACACTGTGCATTGGATTATCAAACAGATATTTTCAGCAGCCTAATATCAAAAATCGCTATGTAAGATTTAAGCTTTGATAATGAGTAAGTTGTCAATAATCATATTTTTGTAGAAATTCAAAATTTATGTATTATATAACTAAAGCCGTGACCTTTCCAATGCTTGTTATTTATTGGCTAACTTTTCTGATTGTACGTCGCGTATATGTTGTCAAGCATCATATATTATCTAAGAATGTTGTTTCGGAATTTCAGACTGCTTAACTGTTTTCTGGTATTTGTAGTATTTCCATTGGTTGTAGGAAATATTCCTTATGAGCTGTAATATATATATATATATATATATATATATATATATATATATATGGGTTAACTTATTGATTCCAAAAAGAGGTACCTGCTTCGCTAGGATGGTCTCACTTTCGACGCGCTTTTGCATTTCTCGACGTTGCTTTTGTTCTTCTTTAATGTATTTCTCCTCTTGTAATGCTTCATTTAACTTTTTCTAATGAAACATACAGTCAGTGATGAATAATATTGTTACTTTGTATCCATTTAAGATTTGAAGTGTCCTTGCAGCAGTTATTTTCATTTTCTGAATATTATGATTTTTTTCATCGATTTCTGCAAGACATTTAGTGTTATCTATCTTCATCTGTTCAAAATCGACAGCACCTAACACATCGCCAGATTCCTTTTGCCTCAGCTGTTCTTCAACTTTCTTCAAAGTACTTTTTATAGAACTATTTTTCAAACGAAGTTTATCCGATTGAGTGTCCTATAATGTATACAGTGTTAAGAAATAAAATATGCGAAAACATCAGAAAAATGCTTAGTATTGGGTTACGTTGTTACTAAAATTTTGAACTAATTTCTGCATCTTTTTATTTCGCTAGGAAATTATGACTTAATGTGTCCAAATTTGTATTTCGACCACTAAGACTTCATGTCCAGATTTGATCAGCGTGTTTTGTTTATTACGCCATATCCAATCTAGACGTATATTACTGTTATACTAAAGTGTATTGTTGTTTATGGAGTGATATCGGCTAGCCTAACGACGTTACATAGCGAACGCAGTCCTTTTTCAATCTAAACCTTACAAATATGCACATTTTACTGGGATTCATATAAGGGTTTAATTGGTTTAAATCCTTAGCCAAAAATATAAAAACCACTCCATGATCATGTACTGCTACACTCTCAACCATTTCTTTTCCGGTCTGCTTTCTCTTGCGAATTAAATATTGTTTACTTTTAGTACGCAAATATTTAAAAATAATGGACAGTTTTCTAATCCAGGAAATTCAATCACAAGTGAGACCAAGACAAACATCTGTGGTTGAGATTTCGGTTCGACATTACTGGTCGAAAATTAGAAAATAAGGTGTCAGTGCTGTAATTATCTCCCTCATGTAGTTCGATGTTTGTTACACACCATAATTGTTAGTTGATCTGCGTCAAAATAAATAATAAAGTGTCCATTAAAAATAGAATGCCAAGTTATGAACCTAGCCAACGCCAAGGTTAGAATCGACCGATTTTTGGATACATGTATTTCCGAATATGCTATATCAGCATTTATGATAAGGAATTGTCAATAAGTGTCTTCCTTAGGAACAGTGTGAAATCTTAGACGTCTGAGCATAAAACATGGTTTCAGGGTGGAAACATATTCCATGAATAAACATACTTTGCTCACTTAGAAACTTATGTCAATCGTTTGCGCCCCAATAAGTTCAAGTTAGGTACTATATAAAAATAAACTTCAACATCGAGTAATAGATTACGTGATAAACTAACTATACTTACAAGACATTTCGAGTAGTCGTCCGAAAAACGTAGGACCTTCTCAGCTGGAACAACCTGAAGACCCTCAGATGAATTCTTGTTTCCCACTAGTTTGCAAAATTGGTTATAATTTTTCAGGATTTCTTCTTGACGTGCTTTCAACTCTTCAGAAATAGCCTGATGAAAATGGGACAGTGCCATTAATATGAGTCACACATATATTACTTTTTGTAGATCCAATGCTTCTTCAAAGCTTATTCGTGTCTGCTCGCTTTCGTTTTTGAGGTCTTCATATTGTGCTTGTAGTATAAGACATTTCTGTTCATTTGTCAACGTGACAAACCTATCTATAGCAGAACTCCTACTCTTTGAACGCTTTCTCACCAATGATGCCCTCCTACTCAGAGATGGCATAACTTTCCTGATGATTTGCAGTGATAAACATTATTTACATATATTTTACAAACTCTGTTTCAATATCTAGTTTGCCTAGAAAGCTCTTGTAACACTCATTTTCCAATGATTCTTCAGGAATATGGCTTCTAGATTATCAAAAACAATAAAATATCCATGTTTACTGTATTTCTGTTATAGCTTTAAGCAACTCTTCGTTTGTGGCTCTATTAATCCAATCCTCTTCTTTAACTGTACTCTGCATTTCTGAAGCTATGGCAATGACCTACCTTTTGTATCTTTGAAACAAATGTATTGAGCAATTCGAACAGTTGGTTAGAGTTGCCGTTAAAGTAAATCGCTCGATGTAATGGGTATATATTCTTGACTCACTTAACTTCTTACTAACTGGAATTCTCCAAATAAAAGTACTGATTCAATTCTTAATCACGGGTCATTTCTATCTAAACATGAAGCTACTGTTACGCAAAAACCTTCAGATACATATCTTACGAAAAACAAGTGCAAATGGTGTGAGTCGCTATTTTTTTAATTTTATAGTCAACTTTCACGGCGAAATTCCCTCACTGGTATTTGCTGCTTATGTCAAGATGTTCATTTCACCACCCACGATATTTGCGGAGAGTTTCCTAGGACCGATTAATCTGCTTCCTTACTGTTCATGAAAGAATTCTCAAGCACCTGGACAGTTCTGGTGTTTGAATGTACTAATGATACCTTTGTACTTGTTGAATGCTCCATTTCAAATTCTAAATACAATACATTCGTTTGTGCTTGTGTCGTAATTCTTGATTCAATTGCGTTAATTCTGGGATTCCTAGTACATAATGTAATTCAAATAATTCGAAACATTAAATTGGCGTCGCAATGGAGCCTGCGATGGAAAATTTGAATATTCATTCAACTTCTGAAGCTTTTGAAGATTATTTGGAAAGTTTCGAAATCTGGACTGTGACCAAGGAAGATGATGAGGATGTTAATATTGTTGTACATTTCCTCACATTCATCGGAAAAGAAGCATATAACTTATTAAGAACTCTGGCTATGCCAGAAAAGCTTATATCGCTTCCTTATACAACTCTCAAGGAACTGCTGCTAGACTATGTTAAGTATACAAATTTCGAACGCAGTAGAGGGAGATTTTGTAAAGTGATTCATGAGGATACAAAAATTTCCACTACATTACTACGTCATCCCAACCCAGTGCATAATCAACGCTATGCAGATCATTCATTAAGGAGTTCCAATGCATTTCACGAAGATGGGCAAAAGTTTGGTCAATTTTTGTCCTGTGGCAAGTTCCACCCTTTTAATTCATGTAAATTTCGTAATTCTAAGTGCTTCGAATGTGATGATATTGGATATATTCAGTCAGTCTGTAATAATAATGTTCATCTTACTGCAACTAATATTAAGTCTTGTAGTTCTGATTCTACTGAGTCGAGTATTCATAATGATCATTTATCTTTATCAACGATGTTAAAAGACAATATAGGGTCATATAGCAGTTTGGAGTTGAATGAAACTCAGAATCCTTGTGAGGCAATGGTTTCCAATAAATCAATTTGTCAGAATTCTCACGTTATTGTACCAGATATGGCTTTTCCCAACGATTCACATATTTCTGATGAAATTCCTCGCAAATCTGAAGAAAATATGTTGAGTGGACATAATTATGATCGAAAACCTGATGTAGTTTTTGTAGAAGCTGATTCTTCTAATGATCCTTTACTCTGCAATGACATCCTTAATAAATTCGAGGAAACTATTTCAGAAGAGTCAAATCTTGATGTCATATCAAATATTATTATTACTCATTATGCATTTGTTTCTTGTGGTAAACTTGTTCAAGGCGAAGCACTAGTACTAAATGACCTCGATTTTGATTACGATTCGGATGATTTCATATCAACTGCTGTTCATCCTTATCACAAATCCACTTTCAATGTATACTCTAATCAATGTGAGAAATATGTTTTAAATGAAGCCACATCATTCATAAATTGAGGATATAAAGATCCAACATTATTTCGTGGCGGTGAATAGTGTTGAAAAATCTATGGTTCAAATTCTATATATTAGTGATTTCAGTACAAAACCGACATGCCGATTGTATACAATTCCAGGTGAATCTGTTCCGATTTCGGTTGTTAATTACAAAACTAATGAGCACATTCCAGATAATACCGAGTTTTTATCCAATACAATGTCGGACAGACTCAGGATAAACTTGAGAAGAAGACGTAAAACCGATTACAGACGGATGTGGTGTTCGAATGAACTAATGGTACTTGTTTAATGCTCCATTTCGAATTCTAAATACAATACATTCGTTTGTGCTTGTGTCGTAATTCTTGATTCAATTGCGTTAATTCTGGGATTCCTAGTACATACTATGATTCAAATTCTTTTCAAATATTATAACAGTTTAGCTATAAAGCTACACTGGTCCTAGTGGATCATACCCCTTATTTAAATGACGACGTTGGATTTTCACTCCGAATAAGTTTTTCCAGTTTCCATCACTTTAGATAAAATATTTCATGTCAAATTATCAAACAGTATTATCTTCTTGCGATTTTGCATCAGTACTCGTTTTGGTTTGTGGAATATATTACCTTAGAACCGGTATAACTCACAAGCGTAAGGAAGGAGTTATTGCATCCATTAGAAATAACTTGCCCAATGCATTTTTCGATAACTTATCAAATGAGAGTGAAATATTCAAATTATTTGAAGCAATAAAGTCTAGCCAATAAAACTCAGTGTTTATTCGTTTGGTGTTTGATGTTTCTCTCTGACGCACTTCGATGCATCTGATGTAAACTAGAGAAAGTTTAAGAACAGAGAATTCAGAGTTATCAAAATATATTTGGTAGGGTTATTGAATGTGCCCTATTGCTGCGTGTGAAAGAATTAACTAGAAACAATCGTTCTCCCTTAAACATACAATGACCTGTCACGGATACGACATCACAAACATAACCAGCATTATATGTCACAAGTATTCCTTGTTTGACAACACCTTATCCAGTAACACTTTCAAAATCAAAGTATGCCAGCCCAGTGAAATCAGAAGCGGAAAGTTTCGAATATTTATTTTGTAGAATATCGATATCACGGAAAGTGAATAATGTAAACCCGCTAGCGTTGTAGGAGGTGTGTCGCACAGTTTACCCACTCGTGAATTAGTGCGAATGCGTGACTGCGAGCCATTAGCCCTGTGAAACTAGTCAGGCCAGCATCAAACTTCGGAAACATACAAGGCCATTGATATTGAGGATTTATTTACCCCTGCAGAACACCCTCTCTTTAGCGGAATAATGATGATACCAATAGATATGCAACCGGAATTTTGAACCAAACGAGCTCATCATTGGTAGATACTCTTCAGATAGCTTGCTATGTTCAATAACATCTAAGTATCTTTGCCTAACACAAAGAATGATGTGGAAATGTAAAAGTGTGTATGACGAAAATTTCTAGTCGTTATGTTCTTCGTAGTTTTCCGTCTTTTCCAGCCGTCCTGATAAACAAAATAGGATATATGGGTGCTTGTCGAATTACACTCATACGTGCGCAAGGACACAAAACGGGTTCAAAAAGGATAATAAGGTTATATTCATGCGTTTCGTAAACATAAATTAAAGCAGGAAAGGTTTCCGCGCAGTGAAAAGTTTTATTTGGAAAAGTTATGCACACATAAACATATTCGAAAAAAATTCGTGTTTGGCCTTTTTGAAATATATATAAGCATATTGAAAAAGCTTTTTGACACAGTAATACAAGAGAAAATTGAAAAGAAACAAAGTGTTATGTTAAAAGACTGGTATTTGAACGAGGAATATTCTTTGCGATAAATTCTTTTCAGGTTCTACAATTATATTTCCAAATTAATAATCCGAAAAATGGTTAGGTCCAGGGCAAAGTACATCGTTTGGAGCATGTGAAGTTCGGATTGTGATAAACAAAATACAATAAAAATTGTTAATGTTAATATGACTCATATAGAATGTTAACTTGAATCGGCTTATATGTTAAGTAAAAATTTAAGATCTATGATCAGAATAAATATGGATCAAATAGGGTGAGAGAGAAATAATAGTACAATTACAATTCGATCAAATAAGTAAGACGTAATAAGGGAGGGATGAATATATTTCTTCTCCACGCATAGCTCCGGTTTCTTCATCCGGATGGCTGCTGCTTTAGCCGTTTGAAGGACTTTAGTCTGACCAGTTTTGGCAAAGAATTACTTACTTTATAAATAATTGAAAAAGATTGGTTTATACTGGCACTATGACCGGTTTGTACTAAATGGGCCAATATTGTGCTGTTCATCTTCTTCATCAAACCTTTGTTTAGCCGCGCTGGAAGGTGTTCACGAGCACGTAAATGTAAATTCCTGAAACTTCGACCAATATAACTCGCTCCACAGGAGCAGGTGAACTGATGAATACAAAATAAATATATTCAACCACTCCTCTTCCCCTGACCAACATCAAAGCCAATTAATCAATCGTAATCTTAACTATTAAACGACCTAATTTGACTATGACCTTTCGTAGTCAATTGTTATTGTCCCTGTTATCTTTATCCATAAATCTTTGTATTATTATTATTATCATTATTATTATTCGTGTTATTGGTCAAACATCACTAATCTACCTTATACATGATTCATTCAATTCGCATTCATCCCTCCCTTATTACGTCTTACTTATTTGATCGAATTGTAATTGTACTATTATTTCTCTCTCACCCTATTTGATCCATATTTATTCTGATCATAGATCTTAAAATTTTACTTAACATATAAGCCGATTCAAGTTAACATTCTATATGAGTCATATTAACATTAACAATTTTTATTGTATTTTGTTTATCACAATCCGAACTTCACATGCTCCAAACGATGTACTTTGCCCTGGACCTAACCATTTTTCGGATTATTAATTTGGAAATATAATTGTAGAACCTGAAAAGAATTTATCGCAAAGAATATTCCTCGTTCAAATACTAGTCTTTTAATATGACAGGGATCTTTAAACGATTGAAGCGTTATGTATTGCTTTACGTTTAGTAATCGCTTAGGTGTTCTGGGAACCTTATTCTTCTGCCAGAGTCAGTTGGCTGTTGATTATCGGGTGAGTTGTCGTATTTGTGAGACTCGTCCCTTTCCATTGTACTGAGGGAAGATAGACATTATAAGTATTTAATTCTAAATACACGGCTTTGGGGCGATCGATCCTGAGGCTATATTTAGTCCCGTTCTTATCGATGATATAGTACTTAGGTTCACCCTGAGTGAATTTGAAGAGTCCTTGGTTTGCCGTCCCGAGAAGTCATCGAA